CTTCCATTGAATACCTTTAATATGGTTTATTTAAAAACATTAACTTTCTTTTATTGTCAGTAACTATAAAAAATGGTTAGATATGAAGTTTGAAAGAATATGATAATTGGAAACTAGAGAAAAAAAGAAAAATGCTTATCAAGTTTGAAAATGAATCTCCGAAAATAACAGTCAGAAGATATACGTATAATATATCGTTGAAAAGCGGAGAATTTTATAAAAAAAAATTAAATAAATAAAGTTGTAAAAGGTAACGCAGAACACTAATATTATTTAACGTAAATCACATGTTTCCAATGAAATTAAATGAAATTTTCTTACTAAATGGTAAACTTTTTTGAAAAAAAAGTATTTAAAATCCACCGAATCATACCAATGTCATTGTTTAAATTACTATTTAATTGTACTTGCGTGAGAGAAGAAGTGAAATATAAAAAATTTTGATGAATGTGTTTATAACGTTAAATACTTTTCCTGTAGTTTAATAACTCTAGCTATGATATTATATTTCAATAATTAGGTATTTATTGGCCGTTTATTCTGAAAAATCATCAAGTAACCTTTTAGGAAATTAAATTAGTGAACAATTTGATGAATTATCCCTTTGTGAAATCCCAACATTATCCACTTAGAATTAGTGTGATAATTTTTGACCTATTCATGATAGACAATGAAGATCTCGTAATTTCGTTTTAGTAAACTTTACAATGTAAAATAATTTAATAACTAATAGTCCTACGATCCATAATCATTTGTAGGTTAAATATTCAAATGTACTTTAAATTCTCTCAATGCATATATGAACCTTTCGGTTGTCAGAATGACTAACTCCAATTTCAACATTATTTATTATTAATTTTAGTGATGTTTCTCGTGGCAACATTTATGCCTTTATTCACAGTTCTATATTTCAACATTGCAATCACCCACTCAGAATCAACTTGCTCACTGTCTGTATAGATATAACATTTCCTACTAGAAATATCACTAAAATGACATTACTCAAAACTGTTGAAATTGGAGTTAGTCATTCTATAAACTGAAAGGCTCAGAGACTGAAGTTATGTGGTTTATAAAACTAGATTTTTATTTACTACCGTCGATATAATAAATAGACTTTTTGCATTTTTAATGGTCTTAATGATTTGTTATCTGTAAGCTTTAAGCCTTAGATCCGTTTAAAATGCGCTTCGAAAATTTTATGATACCCTAACATTGCCAGAAAATAATTTCTATTCAAAGTAGAGGGGTAAGTGAAAGTTGTGTGTTGCCCACACCAGATTTTTTAAAAATTGGAATCTTCTGTATTTTTATTATTGTCTAGATAAGTACATATAGGACATACTTAAAAATAAGGGCTTGAAATGATTTTTTTTTTGGTAAATCGGGTTTTTTCTCGGGTCAGGAGAGATAGCGAGAAATCAATGCCAGAATCGAAAGCCCCCTCAGGCACCTGAAAGCGACGTGTGTTTTGTACATGCATTAGCCCGCTCAGCCACCCCGTCCCCATTGAAATGAGATCTTTATTTTTAATTCGTTTCGGTATGGCTTGAATTTTGATTTTCATTTATTTTCTGTCATTTTGGAACTAGAACTTTCTCTCTTGCAACTTTTCAAATAAAGGGTTTTACATAGTTTTTATTTTTAAAAATCTTTTATTTATAAGTTCTGTTAATTTTGCTAAAAAATGACGTTTATTCATAGTTACTCAAACAAACTACACATCAGAATCAATTAATTCATTTAAGATAAATTATAACTCTCATCCGAGCCCAGCCACTGTTGGTTTAACATTTTTAAAAGAATTAGATAAATAAAAGGTAAACTTATACCGTTTAGCTTGAACTGGATTACAAAAATGTTTCTTAGAACTTTTATTTTAATTTTTTTTCTCTGATAAGTTTCAAAAAAACTGTTAAAATGAAACTTTCAGACTTCATGAAACAAGTTTCAACCTCTGATGCTATTTATCAATGGTTTTTAGTCTTAATTTAAAATGTACTTGGAACACTGACTTGTTTGTATATTCGGACTTACAGTCCTTATTTAGTCACACTGGGGCTATGAAGGAGACATATCCTAAATCTTAGCTAGAGGAGGTCTGAATATATTCCGTAAGTTCACCACAAAATTAGTTCCTAGCAGCTCCAGATCGGAACGCACTTGTATCGTTATGTGCTGAGATCTCCCTCAGAAAGTTTAACTAACGCGTAATAGGACTGTTTGTACAACGAAATCGACTTGGATATCTAAAATTTAACTTCTCGTGATTATTTCAACTTTTAACTGCAGAAAAAAAAATGAAAATTTCATGACGAAACTGTACAGCTTACTGAGTAATGTCCAACGATTTTAATAATTGTTAAATAAAGCTATTAATTATCATAAGTTTTCCCAGTCAAAGCTCTCCCGGTTCCTTTTTTCACACATGGACGTCAGACCCTCCCCCCTCTCTTAAAAATAAACATGAGAACTTTTTAACAGTTATCATACGTTACCTGCTTTTATTCGTTATCCTGTAATATACGCAGTGCCTCTGGTAAGTCTTAAATTTATTAAAATAATTTGCGTTGTTTTATTTAGAAATACCCAATTACAGCTTTATCCAAATTATCATAAATAATATGAAACATCATATTCAGTATTGGTCATTTAAATATAACCTGAAACGGATTCTTTTTTAATAATGTACCGCTTGTAAATATAATACGGTAAATAGAATGTATAAATTCACACGTGAAAACATCGTACAAGATTAAAGTTTTATTTACACAGAGTTTTTAAGTGTTTTTTGTTTAAGTGTGTTGCAGTTTTAAAAAACCACACTAGTTGGTATCTGGGTACAGCACATGCAACCATTTATTTACTATCGTTAATAAATATTTTTTTGTTGACAAAATAAATTTTAAAAGATGTTTCAATTATTAAGTTTAATGTTTCATTTATTAAACCAACAAATCGTCAAACGAAAAACTACTCCATTATTTTATTTAGCCCACCAAGAACCTTTATTTTTAAAATAACATCTTTATGATTTTATTTTTAATCATATTCTCTTGCGTAGACCTTTTAAGAGGATGCAATCTCATTCAGCATGGATAGAAAGAAGAAAATCCACTCTTTCTCGCGTGATCGCGAACGTTAAAATTGTAAACGAAATACATATTTCTAAATCAAAACGTCATTTCGCAAATTTAAAAATATGAATTATTCGGAACTGAATAAGAATATATTTTTTTTTAAAATTATATTTTCAACATTAAGTTTTTTTGTTGTGCTGAATCTAAATATGTTATATATATCATTTTAACAATTCTATAAGAATAGTTTAATTTAATTTAATGCTTGAAATAATATTTATAATTTATTTGGTCTACAAGTGTTTATGTGTCAACGTCTCTATATTGCTTTGAATCTATTCTAGAAAACGTTTTTTTTTTCGTGCTAAAACCATGTCGATATTATTTGCTAAACACGAGATATATAATAAAGCAGTTTCAGCGTATTTTATTTTATTTTTCAGCTCTTAGGGACCCATTGGACGAAACGAACAATGATTCGTCGATTTGTATTTGAATTTATCATAACTCCTTCTAAGAAATAACCTTTTTTTTAACGTCTGGTGCTAAACGATATATTACCCTGTACCATCAGTACCTACTACCTACTACCTGTACCTACACCACCCAGTACTTACCACCTAGTACCTACAACCGAGTACCTGCCACCTACCGTTGGATACTAGTGGATTCAGTATTTAATTTTGGAGAAACTTCCTTCATTTATTATTAAACAGTAATTACTCTGAAAGAAAAAACTTTACGTATTCTGGAACGTAAAGTCTCAAATTTTTCGTTCGATCACAATAATTTATTATTGAAAATAATAAACTATACAGAATAATGTTGAAGTAGTCTTTGAATACCGGTTAAAAAACAAAATTCGTAATTACAGGAGAACTGATGCTTTTAAGAGCAATTTAAAAATATTTTCTCTCGATACTCGTTTACATTTAGTAGCTGTAAATCCGTTATAATTTATAATAAATATATATATTGATTGTTTAAGTCTCAGATCACTGTAAGAAGCAAATATAGACCTATGAAAAAAAGAATTATTTTTCCTGGTTTCATCCCGAATAACCCGTGGTTCCACCTGTGCCCTGTAGTGATTGATGTAATTTTCCATTATAATTAAGATGCTGTTACTTGAGAAGCGAGGTGGCCGAGCGGGCTAACGCGTGTACACAGCCCCCATTAACCTAGCAACCTGTTGGAAGATAATTGGATAAATTAATTAATTAGGGTTCGCGTCCCGGTGCCGAATGGACTTATAAATCTGGCATTTATCCTCCGTCCTAGTCCTGGCAAAATCCTATAGGTTAAAAGGGTATATATTGGAAGGAAGGACAAAAAAAAAATGTTATTTTTTTCTCCAAAAAATTTCAACAAATCGCTTTTACATTTACTTATACGTGCGAAATCCTCTCCTGCATTTTCCATTAATGTTATTTATTTATCCTTGTTAAATAAATCTTCTGCCTAGGACATCTGTAAAAGAGGCTAAAATGGAATTATTTATAATATTTATACGACTAGAAACTGCTTGCCTTTTCTAACACTCACTAGAAAAATTGTCTAAATTTATAATTTATTAATAGAACTTCATCTACATGACTATAATTAGATCCGTCTGTATATATACTGAGGTGCTCTGTTGTATTTACTTAGTCGAAATCAAGGTGTCCACTAAACTATCTAATTTTTGCAAATCCTTTCAACTCAATCTGTGCTATAGCTATAAAAACCTTAAACATTTTCAGTGTTCGTTAATGTATCAGAAATAAAAAAATATTTTGATAGACATCATATCTCGTGTGTTGCCGATCTAACACAATCGTCTCTAAATCTTTCCTTCCAAGATCACCCAAACATTTTAGTTTCGGTCATTGTTTTTGTCTGTCCCTATCCTAGTGTTAGTAAGAAGACTGTGGTGCTTACCTAGCTCCATGACAACTGCTACTATTCCATTCTCCATAGGTGTGCCACTTTGTCATCTAGGTGTGTGTTCTCCCTCCTCTTTCATATTATCCTTAACTAATCTTCATCCCGCCTGTTTTGTTAATATTTGGTTATTTACTGTTCTCTTAATCATATTCCGATAACTTATTTTTAGAATATGGGTTCATAAGGCCTATTATAGTTTGGTCCAGAGCACTAGCGGGTCCAGGGTTTAATTTTGGGGAGGGGGGCTTCAGCCCGAAAGATTTTTTTTCGTATATACAACAATAATTAATTTGAAAAAATAAATAAATTAACTATCTATATGAAATGGCGTTTAAGTGATTCTTTAAGTCCTTTTAAATGTAATTAAACTAACAATAATACTTTAATAGATAGTTTTTAATATTTTTTTTTCTATAAAACATGGTTATATTTTACCGTTTTGGGGAGGGCTTCAGCCCGAAAGCCCCTCCCCCCTCCCTTAGTTCCGCCTGTGTTCCAGATTTGTACTTCCGATAACTCTTCTTCGAGTATTTATTTTACTATACTGCCGACAAAATTATAATATATCTGCCTAATAAACTGAGTTAATTGTTCGCCTCGTCATGTTTGTAATTGGAGGCGGCATGACCGAGGCGCTTGCAATAGGTAATCAAAGTTAAGCGACGAGCGTGGTAAGAACTTGGATGAGTGACCGTCCATCGGGGAAAACCATGCTGCCCGAGATCCCCCGGGCATGTTAGGTCCGTCAGTCTACTGGAATGCTATTATCTTTAATGATTTGGCGATACTTAAACATTTTGCGTTAATTAATTAATGCATAATTAATGCGTTTTCTTGAACCTAAACTGTAATAAGAAATAGCGGGAATATGGCAAAGTCCCTCAGTTTGCGTGCTAATGCTTGATCACGGGCGGATCTACGGGGAGGGGGAGGGGACTTTCAGGCTGAAGCCCCCCCTAAAATGGTAAAATGTAACCATGTTTTACAGAAAAAAAATATTAAAAACTATCTCTTAAAGTATTCTTGTTCAATTAATTACATTTAATAGGACTTCAAGAACCACTTAAACATCATTTCATATAGGTAGTTAATTTCTTCATTTTTTTTTCTAATTAATTATCGTTATATGTATATGAAAAACAATCTTTCGGGCTGAATTCCCCCAAAATGAAATCCTGAATCCGCTAGTGGCTTGATTGGTCGAATTATGAAATAATATTAAAGAAATTATGAATTGTATCCATATTTTCATGACAAGAAACCGAGGTGTAATTTAAAACTGAATACATTAATAATGGAATGGGTGCCAATCCAAAAAAAAAAAATGATTTAAACAATTTTAGGCATGCTAAATGCCATTTCCAATAGCCTAAAAAAAACGAGCTATACTCAAAGTTTTTTGGATGAAACAAAATTTTCAGGGCTTTCAGTCAAAATATTTTCATTATTAGGTTAGCCGACTTTAGTCCCTTAGTTTTTAGTAAAGTATTATTAGTATTAGTATTTTTCCCCTTTCGCCGCCCCAAGACTCTCACTGAAGTCCTTTACTGATGAGTATTATTAGTAAAGTTAAGAATTTTGACTCTCGCAAACTGGTACTTTCTGATTATGAAAATTGGAAATGGGGTGCCGAAAACTGGTAATGCAGGATGTCGAAAACTGACTCATAGAGTTATTTTTACATTTTATCATTAAAAATAAAAAATAAAATAAAAAAATGAAAGACAGTGTTTGACATATATTTTTTGAAATTAGTGATCGAATTTGTTTAACCAAATACCCACGCGATTAAAAACTGAACTATGCCTTTTAAAGTGGGGATTTCATCCTACTTCTGTTTAACAAAAACTGCAGAAGTGTTTTTATTCTCCAGAATTTCTGGATTTATGTATTTACTTGAAATTATATAATACTTTTTATAAATTTTTTTAAGACTAATCGGCGATAGTTTTTTTTTAAAATAATATAATTTTGTTTAGACTTATAATTTTAATGATAAAAAGAAATTATTACCTACCTCTTGCATTTTTAAAAAAAAAAATTATGTAGTCGCAAATCTATTTATTTTTAATGACTCTCTTTGTGATGAAATAATTTGTGAGAATGATGCGAAACATTTAGGATTAGAAACTAATTAAAATATTTCTCTGTTCTCATTTTTTCACATCTATATGCTAATTGTTATTGTATTATTATTATTTTTTTTTATAGTATTGTTTTATAAAACAAGACTTTCCCATTACATTAATGGAATAAATTAGCATTTTTAGTTTATCTTTCTCGTGTTATCGTTTCCTGATCCGAAAGTGTATTACAGTGATTACTGATGTAAAAGTTGTGAGTAATTTATTAAAATAAAAAATGCTCGATTGTTTTTTTAATATTAGTGATGCATCGAAATTTGTTTTTAGTTATTCAGTTTCGAATTTATACAATATCCATATTATGTTTTATTATCATCATTACATTGGAGGACCGAAACTAGAGATAGGACAAATAATTCAGAAGGCGGCAAATTTTGAGAAATAATTTTTTTTTTTTACTTGTTGGTTGTTTAGATATTGATTAAGTCAATAACACGGATTAATACGATCTGATGATAATGTTTATTTCGGAATATATTGCCGAGAATATTGATTTAAAATGTTGACTTTTATTGATTTTTGAAAGCTGGAGGTGAATGAAGCACAAAAAACTTTGTTCTTTCTGTTATTAATGTTTTTTGTATATAAATGTTTTTACTACAGACCTTCAAAGACCACTTTTCTATCATTTTATATAGTTTCTTTTTTTTCCGTTCAGGATAAAAAGAAAATGCCCCCAAAATAAAAGGCTGGATATATTACTGATTCCAACCCCGCTTCACACACCATTTTAAAACCTGGAATACCATCTCTTATTTCAGGAATAGCCAGTTCATTTTACTTGCTGTATTTTTCCTTCTCAGATAGATTGTGATAAATCATTGCAGATACCACTGTTATCACAAGGTTGGGCATTGGTTAAAAGGTGTGTAATCATTTGTCACCTTTGTTCCTCAGATATATGTATGTGATGAATACATATAGCAAAACATATTTAAGGATGTGAACAGCTAAACCCTCTAGATTTATGTAATGAAATCATTCAGAACATAGCAAAAACTGATATCATCATTTGTGGTTTTGGTATTGAATTTATGTTTTTCTGGTTCTTACTAATGTAATTAAACTGTGGCTCTTGGGCAAAATGTTATAATTATGTTTGACTGAACCAAATATATTTTTAAGTTCGATTGTTCTCGTATGTTGTATTGCCTTATTTCTCTGAAAGGGTATTTGTATTGTATTTGGATCTAATATCAGAAGTAGTGATTTTTCGATAAAGTTTGCTATAGTTTAGTGTTTTCTGAACCCAAGAAAATATTTTGATTGTATGTGGAATTAAGATAAAAAAATATCCTAAATATTAATCGTAAATTACATCAGAGATGAAATATAAATGTACAAAATATATAATAGAATTGATGAAAATCACTTAAATGTTATGTTTAAGTTAAATTAACTTTTTTTTGTAATAAAAATATTTCGGGATATCCTTGTCGGGCATAAAAAAATTCGTATCAGTGATCCTTTTAGCTGTGATGTAATTTAATCTTAATCCATTATTAGTTCAGTATTCGTGTACCAAATATAATAATGGAAATACACGCGCGCTATCAACCTGGTGGGGGATGGAAGGAGAGGGGAAGAGAAGAGCACCACTGCATAGTAGAGTAATGCACGGCGTTTTTTTAATATATGCGGTTTTTATAAATGGTAGCTCTGGTATTAATTAAGGTATAATTAGATAAATTATAGATGTGAAGTAAAATTGATATATCCTATTGGATATAAACCTTATAAATATATCGATGATAAAAGTTTCTCTGCATATGTACTCATTTTTTTTTTATGTGGCACCCTTGTAACTAAAGGACAGTGACTGAAAACGGATAATAAATTAAATGTTTGTGGAAGTACCAAAATTTAGTTATTTTAAATGAATATGTTATGCTGTCCATAATTTTTACTTTCACTTCCCTTTGTTTGAAAATATATATTTCTGATCTATGCAAGTGATAGTTGTGTGATGCCCACTAGCGGATCCAGCATTTAATTTTGGGTGGGCTTCAGCCCGAAAGCTTTTTTTTTTCATAAAAATAACGATAAATACTTTCGAAAATAAGAAAGAAACTAACTACCTATATGAAATGGTGGTTAAGTGATTTCTAAAGACCTTTTAAATTTAATTACACGAATAATAATACTTAATGAGATATTTTTTCCAATAAACATGGTTATATTTTACCATTTTGGGGGGGAAGGAGGGAGGCTTCAGCCACAAAGATCGCTCAGTGCCTACACCACATCATATTTTTTTTTTAGATTTGTTTGATTATTTTATGAAGGAATCTTTTTAATAATTTATAAGATCTTAAATATCTTGATGTATTATTTTTAACTTGAAAGCCTTTGGAAACCCTTGTGGCTGCTTAGTCCATTTACAGCTTTATCAATGACCAATACAGTGCAACAGTCTATTACTTTCGGAGAAAATATGACTAAAAATATGGTTATAAATAGTTACATTTCAAATTGCAATAATTCTGTTGTATTCGGCCATAATTTTATTCTAATTCTAATTTAATACTTCTTACTTATGGGTTCGAGCTGTTTTGTTAGAGAACATGCATAAGTTAAATAAGGACTCTTCCTCCATTAACTTATTTTTTTTTAAATATTGTAATTACAAAATGTTAGGTAATGAAAATAAATATTTATTTATGTTATTATTTTTTGCAGCAGTGATAAACATTGTGATTTTCATGTTTTAATGACCTATCATCTTTTACATCAGTTTAGATTGCTATTTTTAATTATTTTTATCATTAGTGATGATTTATATTAATGGTTTTATCATTTCTTATTCCTCTGATATAAAACAAGTTCCATATTACATTGATTTTTCAAGAATACTCTATTTCATTTACACATATTACAAATAACTATGTTGAAAAGTTTTGTTTATTTTTAAAGTTTTATAATGGCAAACATTCTTGAAGCTATGGTTTATCTAAATCTTGAATTTATCAATATTACTAAATATGAAAATGAGATCCATCAACGATACAATTCACTATAATAACACAGTATTTTCAACTTGATATATGATTGTGGAGGGGTAGGTTCCCTGTACAGTTTGTCCAAAACATTGCCTTATGTTTACAAACTTCATAAAATTATGAAAAACTTTTTATCTTATTTTATTTTTTATTAATTATGTTAACCTATCTGTAAACTAGTAATTATCTCAGTTTTCCTTGAATCTTTGCATGTCTTATGGTCTTGTTAAGCACATATAAAATATAAAATGATGTATATTTGAAGTAAGACAGAGGTACATGCATGCTAAAAGAAATATTAATCTTTTAAAAACCAAGTTTAGGCTTCTTATATAATAAGTCATTAATACAAGGTGGATAGTACTTGCTTTGGTTGTGGATCCTTCCTGCAGAATGATAAAATATACTTTCTTCTGTTTTTCTTAGCCATGTCAATTTTTTTCAAGTAACCTGTGCTCTAATACAAATTACTATTTAGAGATTTTTCTTTTCCGTTTTTTCATTATATTTTATTTTAGTATATAACCGAGGATATACTTACTAACTACTCTTTATTTTGATTTTTCTTCAATAGCAGTTAGATAGACTGATAGATGTCGTGTATGTTTCAGATGGGAGTAAAACAGGCGTGGATGTTCCTCTGTTAGGAGAGAAGAAACAGGGTAGTCCGATAACACAGGAGAGGGGAATCGATTATGATGGGCCGCAGACATTTACTGATATTCCCCTAAACACTGCAGATTTGAAGACATCTACTAATGACAAATCTGTCCCATCTTCACAGGGCTCAGCCCTGTCTAAAAAAGAAGCTGATTCTGGCCAGTATAAATCATCAACTTCTTTTCTGTCCTTCTTTTTACCTTCAGTTTCTCCTAATTCTCAAAATTTAAAAACAGAAATCAATCCCAGCTTGGATAAAAATGAGCGTTTAGGTCAAAAACGTCTACCCTCACCTCAAATCTTTGAACCGCAACTCATTCCACCCTCCTCTGAACCTGTTGTTAGCTCTTCAAAATTAACCTCAGAATATAATGCTACGGTTAAGCCAGATTTAACTAATTTATTAACCGCTAAACCATTACATTTAGTTTCCCCAACAGAGCAATCTGAAAAGTTAACAAAATGTTCGGAAATAACACGGGTTCCTTTACCACCTACTATATCTGCTCAAAATACTACTGGATTAAAAAACCCATATGCGTTGAGGAACAATCAAAATTCTGTTTCAAATTTTTCTCTCTTATCTAAATCCCCTCCAACAAACTTAGGTAGTTATGACTCAATACCACTGTATTCACCATCAAATGTAACCAATTCACCTCCTAATTTATTTAATTATCTCTCGGGTCCTCAGGTAACCGCTTCTACTGTTACTGCGGAGTCTCTCCCTTCTGGGAATATAATAAATCCAGTTGAAATAGCTAAGGAATCATTAAATAGCTCAAGTATTACTTCTGAGTCGACACTATTCCCCTTATTTCAGAATAATAGCCGTGAATCAAAACCGTTTGACACTCCTCCTGTCATTGCCAATATTTTTTCTCCAAAATCAACTCACAATACCCATTCAGAATTACAGCAAAAAAGTGATGTCTTAAGTGCCAACAATTTTCCGAAAGTTACTTCTGTAACAACTCTTTATCCAGTCCAAACTTCAGAAGAAACCTTTTCCCAGGCAGGAACAATAAATCCAACTAATATAGATGAAAAAGAATGTATTCAGCCTAAAATAATAAGTCAAACAACACAAGATAATCCACAGACAGAATTGAAGACAGAGAGTTCAAGTTCTCAACTAAAAACTAATTTAATCACACTTTCTGAAAATTTTGCATCTGTAAACTCAGCAGTTTCAGGTCAGTCTATGTTAACTGGCCCTTTTAATCAAGAAACTCAACAATTATTAGAAACGAATTCTAAAAATGAGAATTCTTCCATCCAACATTCAATGACATATGTCGCTTCTGCCAAACAATCTCTTTCAAAAATATTTCATGATTCACATCTTGAAATGTCAGAAACTCCTTGCCTACCTCCTGTTGATGATGCTAAACCTCAAGTTTCTTCTGAGCTCGATTACAAATCTCCACAAGATAAATATATTAATCCAGAAATTAGATCATTTCAAAATCATCCCATTGAAATTGGAACATCCACAAAAGACAAATGTGTGGCTGAGAAATTAGATGGATTTCCTCCTCCCCTTAGCAATAGTACTGGGCAAAATTCTCTTTTCAAAACAGAATATAGTCATTATGGTCCTGTAGGATTCCAATCAAAGCAAGTTACCATGGATAATGTATCATTGAATGAAATTAAAAATATGGGAACTGATGCTAGTATAAGTAAAGATATTGTAATTAATAATAGCGATGTACCTCAGAAATCAATTGGTTTGTCAAATCCACCTTCTTTATCTGGTTATTTCAAAGAACCACTGGTTAGCGCTAAAACTCCATCTACAGAAAGTTCTATACATACTTTATCAAACTTACCAGTGGTGACTCCTTCAGTTACCTCTGCAGCTCAGTCATCTGCACCAGCAATTTTAGGACAAGTTTCATCTTCAGTTGATTGGAATCAACAGATTTTAGCACCTGTTGTTTCTAATATCAATACTGAAAATTTCCTACAAAACCATGCTATTTCTGGAAATAATGGATCAATATTCCAACCACCTGCTATGATCCCAAATACAGGATATATTACAAGCTCCTCACAACAGATGTTTAATATACAAAATCAACCTGACATCACAAAAAATACACCAGACACTCCAATTTCTAGTATTCCTCTTCATCATATTTCAATTAGCCGTACTAATTCCAATGATCCGATACATTCCAATGTTCCTTCATTGTATCCTCAACCTCTTTATACCTTTCCAAAATTAAATTCTAACTCTTACAGTTACCCTTCTCATCAATCAGGAACCTTATCAACATTTCCTTCTGCTCCACTTCCTGCTGACTCAATCCCACAAGTGGAACCAGCCTCTTCCAATCCGTTAATTCCAACTTTCAATTATTTTTCATCCTCCCAAAGCAGCTGTTTGCCTCCTTCTCTTGATCAACCTGTGCAAAAACCCACTAATAAAACTCCACCTTCCAGTTATTATTTTGAACCAATACAAAAACCAGATTCTGTTCCAGTTTCACATAGTTTGCAGAGTTCTGTTCCGAAAAAAATTGAGCCTATGCCTCCTATTTTAAACCCCACACCTTCTGCACCACCCAAAACTTTTAATATTCCACCACCTAATGTATGTTACCCAAAGGAAAATACATCCATATTTAATCAACAGGCTATTAATAATGAAGTTGTTCCTCCAATCCAGACTACCGTAAGTTTAAATTATAAACATTACTAATGTGAGAAACATTGTAAAATTTATTTGAATAGATAAATAGATCATTTATTTCCAGAATTCTTTATTTGAGCTGAAAATTTATAGTTATCCTACTTATTAAAAACATTTTAAATTCACATGAAAAGTATTAATTTCTTTTATGGGTAAAAAAGTTGCTAGAATGATTTAATTTAATTTTTTTTTAGGATAAGCGGACTAGCTTAGACAGTGAAGAACTTGACCAAATTCCTCTTGAAGGGAGTGCAGTTCCACTGTTCAACCCTGAAACTGTTAACAGAAAAAAGAGTATTGACATTCCAGGTATATTATTCCCTCAATTTTAAAAACTGAGTAAAGGTTATGTCTTGGTTTGATTTATTTAAGAAAATGAATTTCTTATTATTTTAATTTAGTATGTGATGAATACATTTTGAACTACTGGACAAAATCAACAAATCACTTCAAAATTGGTATATTTAAGATATCTATAGTACTATTAGGATAACTGTGTATCCTTAATAAACTCTCATACCCCTCTATAAATAATATCTCTCACATTAAATATTTGTCCATATTTTCTGTAATATATTTGATCATTTTTATTCATATAAAGAATGTATCGTTATCAAGGAAATCTATGCAACTCACACTATCAGTGAAACTTCCTGATGACATTAATGAAAGAACAGTTTACTTTAATTAGCTCACTCTACAGAAATAATCCTTTCAGTTAAGGAATAAGACTCAGCTATGCATAAACAAAAACTTAGCCAGAAGTGTACTCGCTAAAACCTATTAGGTTGGAGCGAAAGAGTAGGACCCTTGATATGTAGTTCTCTCACTTATTATAACAGAAAAGTTTAGAAGGTGAACCTGGATAAAACCTTCGTCATTGTTATGGTGATATTAAAAACCTAGAAAATTAAAATGTGTTTATTTTTACCCTATCAAAAGCCTCTAAGGGATCTCAGAACTATTCTCAATACCTCAATCTTTTCTTCCTTTTCAATAGGTTTTTAGTTTGTTTTAGATTATAATGAACAGCAATGTTTTAATTTTTAAAACCATAAATGTGATAAGGATCCCATGGCATCTAGAGGACTTTTGCCAAGAATCACAAATCTCAAGAAAACAGTTCATTTAAGATCTTGAAAACACAGAGTACAGGTCTTTGATCTGCTACGGAATTTTCAAAACACATTTTGAAATGTGTCCTCTTTGAAATAAAATCACTTCTGAGAGCTGGATTATATGTATATATTGTAATATACACCTTTATTGGAAGATGGTAAAAATGATTTAGTAAATTAATGTTGAACAGTTAAAAGGCAAGCTAATCTAGTCCTACTTATGCCAGAGGATGTTTAAATTTGAAAAATAGGTTCAGTAGTTCAGGAAAAAAAAAATGGCTGCTTTTGAGTTTCCCCTGAGGAAAATGGCTGCTAGGGGATGAACAAAGGAATTCAGTTGTGTGAATGTTCTTTCTTCTTGGGTGTGATGTGGGAAGGAGGTGAGAAGGGATCCTGGCTCCAGTGGGTAAAACCCAGTAATAGTATTACCATTTTGAAAGGTGTGTTTTGCAGAACATTGGAAAAGTATCTGAAGACAAAGGAATTCAGTGCCACAAAGAAACCAACAGTGTTTATAAAAAAAGGTTAGCTTACCAATTCATAGTTGACTTACAATCTGTGTTTAGTGTAAATAATTTTAGTTTGAGTCTTTTGATCTGATTGTCAGTATCCCATAGCTTCAGTTAAAATAATGATAAAATTCTGTTTAATATATCAATATTCTTATAATTTTGTTTTAATTTAACAACTTCTTATTTCTTTTGGAAGTATCGCTACAGTAGGAAGTAATCTTCTGAAGTTATATTATTAGTTAAAATAGGGAATTATTACAATATAAATATATATACATGTATATAAAGATCATTTAATTCAGGACTTAAAAAAAAAATAAATCATCTTTAGAAAAAATAGATTTCATGAAAGCGGCATGAATTATGACAATCCATCATCTTCATCTGTCCTCAAAGAGGCAATTAACCAATATCTGTGATAAATTGTCTGACTCTTTGAAAACATCTGCTTCTAAATAGAGCATAAACAGTAACAAACAGACTATCAGATTAAGGTCTAAATTATTCAGTGACTACTCCAGGAATAATCCTCCTTGCGGTACTTAAAATACATTCTCAGTTGTGTGTGGTTGTGTATTTTCATGCTTCTGGAGGAAACTATTTTCAATTTTGGGCACAAATAGCACTCGTAAATGTTCATCTGAGTATTCCATTTTTACTTATGACCATTTAAGGATGGAAGTAACCTTCAAAACCAAACCACTGATTCCCTTAACGAGTGACCTATGATTTGCTCTCATGTAATCATATTTTTCAGTGCAAAGACTCAATTACATGTAAAAAATCGTTACAGTAGCAAGTAAAATTGCTTAAGTGACAAGCAATTATAAGTGCACAATGTCCTGATTTCTCAGAGAGAGATTTTATCTTGAAGTTCATATTTATTTTGTTACTCTATCCGATTATAGTTATGAATATTCTCTTGTTGCCACCTTTATATAAATAATAGTAAGGGATTGTTTAACCATAATTTAAATTTATTTTTGAAGCTATAGAAAAAATTACATTTTTTATCCACTCAAACCATGTATTATTTAAAATTGAAGTTATTAAAAATAATAATTGAGACTTAGAATTTCTGTATTTATCATTCATTATTTTGATGTGCATTTATTTATATTTTTATAATAATTTAGCCTATAGTTGCAGGAAACACATTTCGGCTAAGTAAAGGATTAAAAAAACCCACTTACGCTCCTGTACCCGACTTGGGTGTAACAGAGAGAAGAAATTATCTTCCACCCACGAGTCCAAGTTGTTTGTCAGTTTCAAGTCAAGAAGAAATGTCAGCCATTCATGAAAACCAAAATATGAGGACCTCACCTTCGAAATCTGCCGAATCCCCATTGGTAGTAGATAACTACCATGGAAATGTTGTGAGTATATTATAGAAAATATATTTTTCTACATTATCTTTATTTTATGATTCTTACTTGTATTTTATTTTTATAATATTGCATGGAGAATAATATATGATACTTCAATTATAGTATTTTAATTTAATATAAATAATAGGATCAAGGGATTGTTTATCGACCACCATATCAACATTGGTTCTTTAAGAGTGGCCGCGATCAAAAATCTCCTTGGACACCATTTTCGATGGCCGATTCTTTGAATCTGGAACAGATTTTTAATTCTAGTAAGTACAGAGTTATTGTTGTATTTTCATTTCACTTTGATTTTGCATTTCCTATATATTTATTTTCCTTTTAGCCGAACTTCATGAAGATACAAAGGTTGCTACTGATGGTGGTCGTTATGATGTGGAAATAGTAAGAAGGAAAAAAAATTCTGTTTATTGGGATGAGACACCTGGTGAAGTAAGGCGTTGCTCTTGGTTTGTAAAATCTGTGTCAGATTCAAGATATATTCCATATGATGAAAATATTGGTGCTTTGCTAGAGGTAGGTCAAAATCTTTTATATTTTATTGTTTAGATTATATGATGAGTTTTACCTGACTAAGGTAAAACTACAAACAGGGTTATTCTGCGTTTGTACTTATTGTACTCCATTTGTGGGTATGTAACGATTTTTACAGTGAATAGCTGGACCGATTTTTAAGTTGGATAGCTCAAATTATTCAGTGAGATCACATGATTGTTTTGAAACATTTTTGCCTCAAGGCAGTGTGAAATTATTGTACAAAATGCATTTAATCGGTCTGTTAAAAGGTATATTTGAATTATTAAGGGAAAGGCTCAACCAATTTTTAATTTAAATAGTTAAAATTATGCAGTTAGATCTTTTGAGTGTTTTGAAATAAATCGAGTCCAAATTACTAAAAAAATTATCTTTATAATATAATACAACAGTTTTTTGCCGTATCGATCTCTGGCTCTCAGGAGCAATGTATTTTGATGAATGAGGTATCAAACAAAAGCATATTAAATGGAGCAGTGATGAATCATAGTAACATCCACCCACAATTTCAGGAAAAAAAGTTATGAATGAAAAGAAAATTTATTTGCAAATTTACATAAATACATTTTTTTATTGATTAGACCCATTATTGTTTGAAAATTTATTGAATTACCTACAAAATGAAGAAAATCTGCTACAAATTGTATACTTTTCCTATTATGAAGAAATTGTTACATAGTTGTGTTTTTTTAAAAAAACAAATAACAATTTGTTACCATCTTCGTGTTACTTTTCAAAATCTCAGCAATATTATTTTCCAGCTCCACTTCATTCTGATCTTCTTTATAGGCACAACGCTCAGTCTAAGCATGCATCACCGTGATATTTACCAAGCAGTAAAGAAACTTAAGAGATGCCCCTTTGTCAATAGGTGTTCATGTGTTAGGCTTGAGTGGCCGATTCGTAGTTATGCTAGGCTGATCTCTTTTATTATTTACAACTAAGTATGCACTCGATTTGTTACTACAGAGAGCTGGAAGAAATAATTTTTATATAAATCAGAATCCATGACAACATTGGCATCAAGATTTCCTATCGCAGGTATAACGTTGGGCGCAAACAGTAACTGGAAAACTGTAAATTTTGTGGCTTTAAAAGGCAATTACTTAATCTTAAAAATTGTCAGATATATTGTCAGATTTCTTTAGTACATAAATATCAGAAATTATGAAAGTAGTTTCCGAAAATCGTAAGTGCAAAAATGATAATTAATATTTTATAACACTTCTTAGAAAACAATATTAAAAACAATAATACATAAATTACAATAGACTGTATCTTGGTAAATAATGGTCCGATTTCCATGATTTTTTTTTCTGTTTTATAGGAAATTTTCAGTTGATAATGGGTATAATCCAGAAAAAAATGTATACTTTTTAAGTAAGTCGCAAACAAATTTTCTTTTCATTCATAACTTTTTTTCCTGAAATTGCGGGTGGATGTTACTATGATTCGTCAATGCTCCATTTAATACCCTTTCATTTTATACCTCATTAATCAAAATTCATCGCTTCTGAGAGCCAGAAAAGGGATTGTTATGGAAAAACTGTTGCATGATACTATTAAGATAGGGTTAGCTTGTAACAAGTGTTCTTGTTGGTAAGTTGTGGTTTTGTGAAGTGACATAAATTATCAACTAAAGGACAACCATTTGACATATTTCTTTCAGTCGATTGATGCTATTATATATCATCTATATTTTTGATTTGGCCAGTTTATATATATTTTATATCAGCTACCTATAAATCTCAAGATTAATATTGATGTTATGTTATAGTTTGTTAAAATTAAATATATTTTTGTCTCACAAAACATTAATTGTTTAAAGGATGAATACAAACAAGGCTGTGAAACAAATGAATGGAACAGAAGAGTTGAACTTGCTGATGGTGAAGTAATAATTCTGCATGGACCTAGTGCCATAGCCCATCATGTCAGATCTGCATCGCCTGATGCTTGGAGTAGCCAACCAGTAAGTAAATATTTTGAATGTAGTTGTGCCAGTTTACAATCTAAATTTTAAAATTAAATATAAATAGTGATACAACTGTAGCGTAAACATATCTATTTATTTAATGAGACATAGTATCTTATATTGCAGTATAGTAGAACTTTAACAATCCTGACAAATTGTTGAGGGTCCTTCGATGTATTAAATCATTTGAACCACTGACTCTATGGTACATTTGAAATTTACGTACATACATGCAAATATTTAATTAGTGAATTTTAAAATTTTTATTGAAAAAAAAGGTAGAATGCTATTTTATTTTTAATTTTCTCTATTGGCTAAGTGGGCTTCAAAAGCCTTGAAAGGAAAGAGGGGGGAAGAAAAAAGAAGGTAAGGAGCAACATGAACCTAAAATGACACTTCTGGATGAGAAAGATATTACTGTATCTGTGTGTATTAGTTGCCTGCTGTATTAGGTGTTTTAAGGTAGAATTAAAAAAAAAAAATAATCTAAACAAATATGAAGAGTTTTATGTATTCAGAAAAGGTGAGAATCCATTTAACTATCAAATCCTAACTTTTAAGGAAGAATAAAAAACTAATATAAGTACAAACCATGCTATATAGAACAAACAGGTTTAGTAGTCATTTCTCCACATAATATAATCTGAGCTTCGTTCACAGGGTGACAGTTTCTGTAATAATATAGTCTAGACAGTGCCTATGACTGTCTACACATGTTATAAAAGTAATTAGAAATAGAATAGCTAGAAATTCAGTCACTTAGGTCATTAATAAATCACAGCTATTATATTTGTTTTTCTTTTATTACTCACTTAACATATTGAAATATAAACTTATGTCTGATTATAAAAAAATTATATTAATAAATTAAAATGAAAATGAAGATTATCCAGATAAATAAATAATGGAAGCATAATTTATATATTTACATAAACAAATAGATATTTACAAAAATAAATTATATATGTCAATGTGCATAATTATCATTAATGCATGAATACTTACAAAATAGCCTCAGTTGTTTTTTTTTTTTTTGTTTCTGCATTATAATTTATGTGGATTATTTGGTTTTGATTTTATAACTGACAGTACCGAATGTTGATCTGATTAACAGAATATGTTTATATACTAATAAAACTCTTTCTTATATGTAAATGGCATACATGTTTCAGTTGACAATATTTGAACTTTTGCAAATATTATCAGTTAAGACTTTTATTATTGAGTTAAATTTAATTTTTTTGCCTTAATTTTATAAGTATTATTTTCTGCACACTTCTTTATTTTATCTTTAGAAAACTATCATTAAAATTGTTGTCCAATTTCTCCTTAATTATTATTAATAATTCTTAATATAATTACTAGACATAATAAGGAAGTATACATCAGTAACATAAATAAGATTTTACATTTGTTACAAAAATATTTAATAACATAGTTAAAATTAATGTACAGCACATTAGTTCAAGAGATTATTCGAATCACTAAATAAACACAAAATGTAGCTAATATTGTCCAGTGACTAACAAAGTGTAAATTAATCCATTCTTTAAATGTTTCTTGAATAGATGTTGTTTTTGAGTTATTAACTTCCATTAATACTCCCAAATAAGCCAAATGGAAGACAGCAACAGCCATGAAAAATAGATTGACCGTGTGGACTATTAAGTTTCTTGTTGTTCTTTTATGTTTCTTGCAATAGGGGAAACATGGCTTCGATGTCACACAAGCATTAAATGTTTTACTTAAACATTCTCTAAAGCTGTGTTCAACATATGTATAAATTCCTAGCGATAAGAGTACAGCAGCTATTCGAAAATTAAAGCCATGCAATAAGGATGAAACTAAATAAGTATGCATTACTGCTAAAAAGCTTCCAAGATGTAAAGTTGTTTTAAAAATGTACGTTTTAAGCCACCTATGCATGGGTATATTCCAATTAATTACCACTTGTACTAGAGAATAAGGAAGTTCTAAACTGAGTGGTTTGGCTACAACAAAATCCCATTTATTTCCTCCAAATCCACTCAAAACTGATGTTACTTCTGATAGATATGATACAAAATAATGTCCAAATCGAAACAGCATTGCATTACGATAAACCAGCCACAAAATATTGGATTCTTCTGGTATTAACCATTCTAAAAAACATACACTAATTACAAAAAATATTATGGACATTAAAAAACTAAAAACTATTTTTTGTAACCACCTAATATCCCAGGAATCATTATACTTTAATTTGATATAATCTGAATATGATACCCAAGGTCCAAATATACAATTTGCAGGGCATAACACATAGCCACAAAAAGCTAATAATTTAAAATCCTTAATTATCCCGTTATCAACATCAAAGGAATATGATAAAATCTTCATAGATGCTAGCATTTGTGAACCACGTAAGTTTGACCATGTATCGTAGTCAAAAAGGAAAAATTCTGCTACGAACGAATATACAAGAAAAATTATGCCAATAGCATAACCTTTATAATTTTTATCAAAAAATACCAATAGACGTATTACTGTATATCCACTTATTACTAAACCAATTGTTTGAACAAATTTAGTTCCTAAAAATACATATAATATTGACAAACCACCTAAAATGGAACTCAAATGAAACATTAAGCTGTTGTGCTTAGGAAAATGGGTCATTATTCTAAATATTAGACAAATGGTTAGGAGGAATAATATCTTTTGATAATTTTGTAACACAGTGGGCTTTACACAATGTTCCAACAGATCACTTACAGATACTGTTATATTCTCTTCCTCCTCTTCCATGTAAGGATATTGTTCATCCATCAAATCATAATTGTCTATATCTTGGTACATGTCATAGGCCATTATTGTTTGCTTTTTAAATATGGTTTCTTGAGCTATGTAATGATGAGTCCATCAATGGAAAAATTTTCTGATAGTTGAAGTACTTCAGGTTGGAATATTAAGGAATGATAAGCCATTTTCATTTCTTCTTCGTCAAGTTTAATAAATGAAATTAGATATTTTACGATTTGGAAGCTCTAGTTGATTTTAACTGGAACTTAATTTTGATTTCATCTAGCTTTTAATTTCGGAAGAGCGTTGGCTTGTAACCTTCCGTGAAACCTTCCGCACTTTCGTTCATTGCTCTATGTAAACTACAGATCGTTGAAAACATGTTTCATTATTTGCTCTTTGGTATATATAGTTTTATATGGTATGTATTATATAGTTTACAAAATCTTTGTAAATTTATTATTTAACTATTTTTTAAAAATAGTTTTTAACAGGTATTGACAGTATTCAGGGTTCTACAGATGTTCGTTTCAGAAATTTGTGTCTGCAAAGCCATTTTTCCCAAAATGTAATTAATTGATTAGATTGTTATAATATACTTATGCTTTTAACTTATATAAGTTCTAACACCACCTTGCACAAAATTCGCAACTTTAATGGGGATAGAAAAACTTATTGACTTCGTTAATAACAACCTTCTATTTATAATTAACAGCAAATTTCAGTTACTCCAGCGCCGGCCTTATTTGATATACAGAGTTATTTTCATGGCAGGATAATACCATGAAACTTTGAAAAGGTATGGTTAATTTCGCCATGTCGGAGTTTTCTTTTTAAAAAAATTCGCATTTCTATAGCCCTTCCAAATAAATTAATGACATAGAAATTTTGTTGAAGGTCCGAGAGAAGATTTAGTCTCTTTCGGGTACACTTTTCTAGCTCCTTCAATATGAGTGGACTCACATAAACGGTGATTTAATTTCTGTGTACGACAACACTCGGCCACATATTGCAACGTGGTTAGCAAAACGCTGTTCATTCTTTGACACTCAAATCTAGCGGTCTGACGTGAATAGAGAAAAGCACTCTTTCAGCCCAGTCGTTCTTGGTTCGAAATATGTGTTCCTGATCAAACCTAAGACAAGCTGTTCGATGTGTTAGGGTGAGTTGAATGAACTCGGCTAGCTGGGCTTTTGAATGAAGATTAAGTAAGTAGCATCAGCATTTTATCCACACTGACGTTCACATTTCTTTCAATGTGAAGCCGCTACATCGTTTCCATATAATTCCGAAGTGTTCGTACCACAATTTATAGATCCTCATTCGGTATGAATCTGACTCTCTTGGAAGTTTTATTCTCTCCTTCCATGCCATTTAGGCTACATAAGGTTTTTCCCGGGCCGAGGGAATTATGCCGGGTCAAAAGTACCATCGGGCACCGGGATTTGAACTTTTTTTTTTTGGTCCTCCCCTTCCTCGCCGTTAAGGCTATACGGGGTTTTCTCGGGCCAGGGAGTGTGGGCGGGGATTTAAAAGAGTCCCTCGGCACCGGGACGCGGATTGTGACTATTTTATATCATTTGACTGATATATCAGGTTGCCGGGCAACGGCGGTGCTGTGCACACGCCTTAGCCCATTCGGCTACCCCGCCCACTCGGAGATTTGAACTCGTAATTATTTTCCTATCTACTTCGGTTATCAGGTTGCGCGGAAATCGGTTATCCCGCTCGTAAGTGGTAGTCTCTGACCCCTTTTAAGTAAGTTGTAGCTCCCTAACATTATAAGTAAAAGTAGCCAGTCTCCCAAAGGATGGGATGGCCGAGCATGTTGGGACATGGGTTCCGGAGTGCCCAGTTCTAAACGTTGTGGGTTTGATTCCCATCTGGGTCGGTTGTTTTTCATTTCTCGGCAGCTCCTGGAAATGGATCATGACATTTTGATTCTGTAATTACTTGGTAACTTCAAGGTAGACGTCAGAATTTGGCAAAAATGACCATGATAGGGCCCACTTGCCAGACTGGTTACCCTCACCAGTAGCAGTACCAGCCAGACTGAGAAGACCTGTGGATTGCCTTCGGAATGGTAGTTTCAGGTAACATATCATCCTGGCCATATATGCTACCTTCTTCAATAATTTTATTTCTGTACTAAATCATTCAATTCAATAATTGAAATTTGTTATAAATACTTAATAAATAACACGGAACGGTCCATCTGATTATTTAGATCTTTTCGGATTTATTTTTTGCCCGTTTCCTATTGGATGAAAATTTTATTTTTGGGTTGAAGTTATATGATATCATCTGAAAATTGTGTATATTCCATTTTTTCAATTTAAGTGTGATAAAATTATGTAGTTTTACAAATGGAATTAGATAATTTCTTCTTCATTATTTAATGCTTTATGAGAAGGAGTTGGTCAGGAGTGCAGTCAAATAAATATTATAAACTAGAATAGTATTTTATTAATCACGCTAACGTTTCGACCCACTTTATAGGTCTTCATCAGGACTACAAAAGATACATAGTGAAAATAAAATAAAGTAAATGATTTTATTTTAATTCATTCATTTATCTCTTTTATATTATTTTCACTCATGCACTTTATTCATTTATTTTATTTTCACTATGTACCTTTTATATTTTGTATCTTTTGTAGGCCTGATGAAGACATACAAAGTTGGTCGAAACGTCGGGGTAATTAATAAAATACTATTCTAGTTTATAGTATTTATTTGATCACACCCCATGACCAACTCCTTCTCATATCATAGTCACGGTCAACCATCTCTTCAGCTTTAATGCTTTATCATTAAATTAAATGTTTTGCTCTTTAATTAATATAAGTTTCATTTACAAAAAAAGAAAGAACCTTTTAGGTATATATTTTTAATATGACAAGGTCTCAGTAAGCATAGTTTTTCAAAGATTGTATGATTATTTAGAATACTAATAGTGACTATTTTTTATTTTCTTCTTTAAACATTAATGAAAAATTATACTGTTTTTCAGCCTTTACAACAAAAGTCTCGAGTTGTAAAAAGAGGGGTTGAGGACTTTGACATTCCGAAAGGAGAACCCAAGCAAGTTGACCATCTATTATTAGTTGTACATGGAATCGGGAAGGCATGTGACCTTAGGTTTAGATCCCTTGTTGATGTTGGTAAGACTTATTTTTTTTTTCACTAATATTATTCTACATATTTACTATTTTTATAACCTTCAGTATAAATATTTAATTATCTTGATTGCGAATTATTGTTGGGTGATTCGACCCAACAGCTGGTTCATCATTTACTTAAAATTGAAATTAAGGAACTTTGCAGAATGATTTAAATTTGTCTTCGGTTCATATCAAACTATAGGACAAGATAGCAAAAAAAAAAAAAAGGTCAAAAATGTGTTTATTAAAATTAAATTGGTAAAATATTAAATATGAGTACATTCCAATATATATTAAAGATGGATTTCTTGAAAAGTCTGTTTCACCTGCCAAATAGAATTACATAAATGTTACACCTGCATGTTATACTTGGCACTATATATTATATTGATTTTCTTTTATCTGTTGGTTCTTCTGTGACTCTGTTTTTATATTTTACAGTTGATGACTTCCGTTCAATTTCTCTTCAGTTAGTTCAATCACATTTCCACAGTGGAGTTGAAAATGGAATGGTTGGAAGAGTTGAAGTTTTGCCTGTTGAATGGCATAAAGCTCTGCATACAGAAACTATTGATGACAGACTTTCAGCTATCACATTGCCAAGTATACCTCGGGCTCGAGAATTCACCAATGAAACACTATTAGACATTCTTTTCTACACTTCACCTGTTTTTTGTGAGGTAAATTATATTTTTAAAAAGTTACTAGGTCCTATCAATTTTTATGTAGGTATTGATTAAAAAAATTAGACTTATCTGTATGGTTTATATAATCTGTTCAATATTAAAATCTCCAATGTTATCCTGGAACTTCCTAGTACCAAGCATTAACTACTTCATCTTCATGGAGCAGAAGAGAGACTCATCTCCTTTTGCTATTTTCTAATTAATTTCCTATCTATTATCCTCTTTTTTGTCTTACCTATTAAGATAATGTTTGTTCTTCATTTATCTTGCTAATAAATATATATTTTTTTTTTCTAGAAAATTGTACAAGCTGTTGGTGCTGAGCTAAATCGGGTTTTCACTTTATATCAGAAGCGAAATCCTGGATTTAGAGGACAGATTTCTCTTGGAGCACATTCTTTAGGCTCATTGATATTGTTTGATATGCTTTGTCACCAGCAACCTGTTCAGAAAGCTCACTTAGTTCCCCAACGAGCTTCAATCAGCGAGGTATTTTTGTTAGATTATTTTTTATTTTATCATCTAATATTTTTACTCCTGTAAAATAAGAAGAAAAATATAGTACATAGTAAATTTATGGTTCCAAAGCTAAATTTGTTTATGTGCTTATTAATCACCATAAAACATTTTAATTTCAAAACTGAATCTTTGAACAATATATAATGCGATGCTATTGGTTTTCTATGCTGAATTTTAGGCTCTTTTTCATTTTTATTTTCACTTACTCATAAAAATATTTGGTTTATTGAAAAAGGCCCGTAAATACATTTTTTATGGGTCTAAACTAAAAACATGTACCTTTTTTAAAAATTTTGATCTTATTAAACTATACAAAATGCAAAATGAAACAAACTCTTAATAGTTACACAATATTCTGATTTAATAGAGGACAATTTTTCAAAATAGTCAGTTTACTTTTTTTAAATGTTACTTAACAATTGTTTACAATTAACAGACAATATGAAATATATAGTAAGAAAAAGGATTGCAGTAAAAACATCTTGAATCTTGAGTTTTCTATGGAAATATTCTTTTTAAGATCCTTCAAACCTTTGTGGAGAGCCTAGTCCCTCCCCTGCCAAGAAAGTATTAAGAAACTGAAATTATAAATTATACAGGAATATGCATAGAATGTTAAGAAACAATTTCACTAAAATAGACTTATCAATTCATATTTTCATGATTTTAGAAATTTTCTCAAAAATTGCCAATAATTTTGACCAAAATCATTGTATCAATGTAAAATTAAATGACCTTTAATATCAGGTAGGTGTTTTCCTGGTTGGAACAGTCAATTTGGGCTTAAATGCTGAATTTTCAAAATCGTTTTCTAAAGTGCCTTAGAATTGCATTAATGAAATAATTAAATGTCTCTCATTAGTTTTAATAGTCAATTAATTAGATAATTTAATAGAAGATAAATATTTTCCCAGGTAGAAAACAAATTTTCAAGAGATATTTAAATAAAATTGGAAAATTATATACTTTAGAAAAAATAATATCTGACATATGAAGTCTGGAAAGGTAATAAGGGTGACAAACAGTTAATGACTTATTTTTATTAAAAATGAACTGTTATTTGTTGTTAATAAAGTATATTTTTACTTTCACTTACGTATATATGTAATATATAGTAAGTGTAAGTATTGCGATCGAGAAAATTTTTGAATCTGAGTTTTCGACGGATTTATACGTTTTGAGGTACCCTGAGTCGAAATGACCAAGTCCCGACAAATGGTCTGTGTGTTTGTATGTTAGCAGTCTAGCTCAAAAACGAAAAGTCCTATGAAACTGATATCACGTATTTAAGATAGGTATATGCCTTAGTTGTGATGGCAGCTTTTTCCTTAAAATCGGCTAACCGGAAGTGCCACTTTATATCAACGCTGAAACACATTTTCACAGTTTTCTCAAAAACGGCTCTAACGATTTTGATTAAACTCGGTGTATCATTGTATAATTAAGTGGTCTTTAATATAAATTAGGTCTTATCCCCATTGATGTCACTTTACAGGGCTTAAATGCCCAATGGGCATATACGTCTTCTTCTAAAGTACCTTTAATATGGTTTATTTTAAAAAGATAATTATTTCGTATTATTCAGAGTTACGAAAAAATGCTAAATATAACTTTTGAAAGAATTTGATAAGTTAATAAAGGAGAAAAAAAAATAAAAATGCAGAAAAACGTAGCTATAGACTGTATCGCCTCAACGAATGTACCGATTTCATTGAAACTTCGCTAAAGTAATTTTCTCGACACCCTTCAAATTTATCTATATAACATTCATCAGCGAAAAGAAGCTGAAAAAAAGTTATGAGGGATGGTAAAATTAAATTCCGAATAACTCAAAAAGTATACACTTTTTTGGGAATGTTGTATAAGGTTTTCTAAAAGTTTATGGAATAGCCTAAAAAACAAAAAAAAATCGTTAAAATCGGATAATTAGGAGATAAGATATGGTCTCTAGTTTTTTTTTAATACGTTCTGCTGCAATGGTTATATCCTTTGTTTCGGTTTTTGAATTTTGAATGTGTTAACAAGGTAAGGCTAATTTTTCTAAAATGTATTTAAAATTCACCTAAGCAAGTTGATGGTATTGTTAAAAAAAACTATTTCAGTGTACTTTTGTGAAAGAAGAAACAAAATATAAAATCATTTCATGGATGTATAAATCATGTGTTTATAATATTAAATACATTTACTGTAGTTTAGTAATTATTTATTAAATTTTAAATTGGTCCATAATCGTATTATCTTTTTGGTTACATTCAAGGAATTGCTGTTATGTATGTGTGAGATGTTATATTGCGTTCCTGGCGTTTGAGAATTTAAAGAGAAAAAAGGAATTTTTTTTTATTTCGGGAAAGTGTTTATCATGCTATGTCTATTGTTTAATATGGCTTATTGTTGATAATTTGTAAGAGTGTTGTTATGAAGGGGGAGAAATAAAAAGAAAAATATAATATAAAATTAATGTCCGTATGGATTGATAAGTATGCTGTGTACGAAGCAACCCTATGTAGTAGGGCAGCATTACTTTTAATAAAGTATTTCTCTATAAATAATTAGGTATTAAAGTTAATTCCAAAATATTGTCATATAACTTTTTAGAAAACTGAATTAGTGAATAATTCGATAGATCTTCTCTTTGTGATATTCCTCTACCATTTCATTGTACTTGGGTGAAAAAAGAAGTGAAATACAAAAATATTTCATAGATACGTTTATAACCCTAAATATATTTACTGTAGTTTAATAACTCGAGATCTCATAATATATTTAAATATTTAGATATCTATCGTCTGTTTATTCCGAAAAATCATCATGTAACCTTTTAGAAAATTAAATTAGTGAATAGTTTGATAATTCTTCTTTTTGCGATATTCCAACAGAATCCACTTACAATTAGTGTGACAACTTTTGGCCTGTCTATGACAGACACCGCAAATCTCTTAATTCCGTTTTAATAAACTTTGCAATGGAAAATAACAGTTTAATGACTTATAGTCGTACAAGTCATAATCAATGGATCGAACAATCCATAATCAATGGATCGAACAATCCATAATCAATGGATCGAACAATCCATAATCAACGAATCGTACAATCCATAATCAACCGGTGATATAATAAATAGGACTTTCGTTATTTTAATAGCATTTGTGGTTTTTTAGCTTTAGCTCAGTTTAAAATGCAATTTAAAACATTTTATAATAGCCTAACATGGCCAGAAAACAATTTTTATTCAAAGTTCAAAGAGTAAGTGAAAGTTGTGTGTTGCGCGCACCAGATTTTTATCATATTGGATGGACACTTTAAATATTTATTTTCAGCTTCACAAATCAAAAATATGTTATTTAAGGAATTCTCATTCTTTGTATTAATTGCTCTGTTTATAGTAAAAGTAATATTCTTAAGCTTTATTAATTTATTCAGATAGGTAAGTGAAAATTGTGAAGAACTCCACCAGATTTTCTGTTCTCTAATTCATTCTCAACAAACGAAATGGGACCCTTCTACAATCATACATCTCTAATCAAAATAAGACAGTATTTTTAATATAAAATAAAACAAATTAAAAGGCCTAGTTGTCATATATAATCATGACAGAATGGATAAAATGTCTTGATAAATGAAACTTTGAGGCTATGATAGTCAAATGTATTAAACCAATACATTAGCATTTTCAAGTTGGAGGCAGTACCGATCACCAAACCTACCTGAGTGACTTAAAATTAATATATGACATACTTCATTTAATAATATCTACCAAATTAGTATTTGTTATGGACATTTTAAAATCAAACAGGAAATCATTGATTAGCCTGATTGTAGATAAACATATTTTATTTTTATAGAAGTTAATTCACTATATATTTTGTTTAGGATGAAGAAGACATTGATGAAGTTGGCTGTTTGATACGCAAGGCTAAATTAAGTAGAAGAATGAGCTATTTAACAATAGGTCCCGGTACTGGGCAGCCTTATACTATTTACCCGCAGCTTCTCTTTCAACCGAAAGCATTTTTTGCTCTTGGATCACCTATCGGTATGTACTATTTATTTGGTGTTTAAAATAAATAAATTTTTGAAGAAGAGTTGGAAAAAAGCCTATACTTTAAATTCTAAGATAATTATCTATAGTTAATGGTGCTTAAAATTCCTGGAACTTTAATTCAGTATTCAATGTAGGCATAGATTAAAACTAATAAGGTTATTCATTGACCTGATTGGAAAAACAATGATAAAATCAAAACAAAAAAGTATATAGATTTATTATTGAGGCATTCATTCACAAAACATGGTGTTCATTCACAAAACAAACTAAATAAACACTGCTAGAAAATTGATTTAGGAAAGTACTTAAGTGAAAAATCACAATTGATTTTTGTATAAAAAATAAGTTTTTTATAAGCTGTTTCTAAAAATATCTTTTTGGACATATAAGATAGATACAATGTTTTATAAGTTTATTTTAAATGTTTAGATTGTTATAATAATTTGACAATTTAGGTCTGGCAATTTTATGACATTTTTTCAACAGCAATGATGATATGAAAAAGGTTAACATTTTAGGTATGTCTTTACAGTTCCTTATTAAATTGAACCATTCAAACGCAGGCATGGTGTTCTTTACATTTCTGCAGAGTTGAACAATAGCATGATAACAGAAAAAAGTCATGCATAAGTATTAACATAGATTAAATTATCTTAAACCTAACTTATAGTTAAAAAAAAATATTCAAAATTCACCTATTTTAACTATTTTCAATGTAGATGATACTGTAAAAAGTTCATTCCACGTTTTACCTCTAAACAAGTTAAGAACTGAGTGCGAATTTTCTCACCGTTTTTAGTGATAACATTCATCCAGTTTGTTTGCATTTATATACTCTGGATGTGATTCCCTCTTGACTCATTTATGAGCCACCGTTGCCTGGATCCAGTTTCCTCTCGACTCATATATGAGTCCATCATCATTAAAGGGTTAAAAAAAAATTCCTAGATTCTTTCAGCAACCTACGAAATCAGCTGTTAGGAATCAGGTTTCTTAAACTTCAGTTCACAAAAGTGGTAGATATAATGTTTGGCACCTTATACATTTTTTAATATATCGATCTGATCTATAAAAACTAGATAATGCAATTCTGATTTTTTAAATTTAGGATTACGTCATTTTACCTCATCATACTCTATGCAACTATTATACGATGCTATATTTATTCTGGATCAATGATTATGCAAGAAACAAATAAATAAAATAAAATTTCATTATTACTATTACATTATTTATATTAAGTAACTTCAGCTTATATTGAACTATATTTTAGTTTTTATTTATTATCTGCTTAATTTGTAAGCTTTACCACTATACTTGATGTAATATTGCCTAAGTATACTTACACACACCTTTTAATATTTGTAGGTATGTTCATCACTGTTCGGGGTGTAGAAACTCTTGGAGATGATTTCAGATTTCCTACCTGTCCTGCATTTTTTAACATATTTCATCCTAATGATCCTGTAGCTTACAGGATAGAAGCTCTCATTAAACCTGAAATGGCAAGTGTGCCTGCTGTTCTTATACCCCACCATAAAGGAAGAAAAAGGATGCATCTTGGTAATTATTTTTACAATAATTATGGATTATAATTTGTAATTTTACATGAATCATAAGAATAGGAAATATTATTCTTATTCTCCCAAAGGTAGTTGAAATTATAAAAAATTTATATAATGTATTCTCTCTAACAACCTTTCGAATACATTAAAATGATTTTTAAAAGTAAAACTTAAGAACATTTATTCGAGAGGTATAACACATCTAGGGAAAGTGAGTATCGGGATTTACATTAATTAATAATGGGAGAACTTTATAGCTAGGTGGTTAGATAATATAATAATGACTCCAAAAATATAATAATTTATTTTATTATGCGTGAATGACTTATAAATGATAAACGGGAAGTTAATATTCTGTAAAAAAAAAAAAAAAGATATTCTCAAAGTTGGAAATTAAGAAGTGGTTTTAATTTTGGAGTAATGTTACCCACCAAGGTGTAAGCTTTTCCATTTTACAGAAATTCAGGATAATTATTATGGTGTATTAATTGATTGACAATTGTTTTTATTAATATTACATATATATATATATATATATAATATGCTCAACATGACTTGAAAAATAAGATTGACCCTTTAACTAGCCCTTATTTTTGCTGAAGTAAGATAAGTTAAATGAATTTTTCTTTTTTTTAAAAATAGAATTGAAAGAAACTATGGCACATGTGACTGCAGCTCTTAAACAAAAGTTGGTACATTCCATGAAAAATACATGGAATGCTGTTTATCAATTAGCAATGTTTAATCGAAAAGACCATAATCTGCAAGGAGAAGTCAATAAGGTAAATAAAGAGTAATTGAACTTGCACACATATTTTTTGAAAAATGTGAGAACATCAAATAATAATTTATTTAAAGGTGATAGAAGAAGAAGTTCTGAGGGATGCTTCTTATTTAGAAAGTGATCCTCCTATTGGGATAATTGGTGAAGAAAGTAGAGGAAATGAAGTAAAAGTAGGGAGACTCAATGATGGTAGACGAATAGATTATGTTCTTCAAGAAGCGCCTTTGGAAACCTTCAACCAATATATTTCTGCAATACGAAGTCATTTAGTTTATTGGTTAGTATTTATATCTAACTGCTGAATATTTTGTGGCTTAAACTGTTATTATTATAAGTTTTTATTTCAGGGAATCGGAAGACACCATGTTACTGATTCTCAAGGAAATCTATGGGCAAATGGGAATTGCTCCAGATAGTCAAGTACCTCAGCCGATATTACCTTTTGACATTAGTGGGGATAATGATACATATTCAGAATACACCTATAGTATAGGAGCGCTACCAACACAATTTGTCAGGAAATAAATAGTGAAAATCTTTTTACAGTATTTTGATTGATTGATATAAATTTTTTAAATATAATTATTAAAATGAACTAATAATGAAATGGAATATTAAAAAATATAACATATATATATATTAAATTGGTTGAAAAAATAAGAAGTATATTGTACATGGATTTAGAATTCACTTACTGTACGCACTCTTTTATTGCTATGTAATGTATGTACATGATGTAATTAATTTTTAAAGAAATTATATATTTATATTTTGTGCTATTGTTTGTAATGAAAATAGATTTATCTATTTGTTTAGGCTTGATTTATTTCCTTATCCATTTACAAGTTGTAATATTAGTTTTAATTGTGTAATCAGATGAAAATATTTTAAAACTTTTATGATCCAATCTAAACGGTAATTACACCATTCGATACGGTGGCCATATTGTTCAACTTTCCTTCTGAATGTTTTGGCCTTTTAACATAAGCAACTGTTTTACTAAATGTAAGTTTAAATTATTATGAAACTTCTTTATTAGGTGTTTTTTTTTTATTAAAAATAAAGTTGAGGAAAATAATTTGCTCACAGTCATTAGGAAAGGATTTCTTTTCAGTTGTTGCTGGTTGCCTAGTAAATTTTAATGTCTTGTTTATTAGTAGAAATTATTAAGTAACATTTAAAAAAATTAAATGGCTTTAGTAATTTGATGAAATTAACCTCTAGGACATTATTATGCAACTATTTCTGACATATAACAGGAATGGTGTTATTTTGGTACATTTTTTGTCTTCACATTTTTCCATCACTAAATATGATCAAAATTTACAAATATGTACTTAAAAGTTTAGTTTTGTTGGCATAAGTGTACTTCGTGACTTTTAGCAATATATTGCCACTTTTTATTTATTTGAGGTAAATATAATAACGAATACCAGTTACACGTGAATCCTATATTTAAATAATTTAATATACAATAAGTTTGGTATTTTGAGGTATGAGTTATGGGTCGACAAATCCACCACTTTATTTTTAGTATGAGTAACAGGTACATAGTAGGCTCATAGTAATTGCAAAGGGTACTGATGAACACTCACCACGAGGGTAGATTGAATAAAAGCTATAATTTAAAATAAATTCAAGAAGTTATTTTTTATAGAATTATCCATATTAATTACTGCTTTAAACAAATGGATAAAAAGCCAGAAAAACAAAGGAATGAATACTTAATATCGCAGGTTAAAGAATTCCTGCTTTCAGTAAATTATTACTACTTTCTTTGGTAGATTAACCCATTGGCACCTTCTTAGTAGATTAACTTTAAAAAATTATAAATTCAACAATACCTCTTAGGATTTAATGTTTTGGTACTAATATATAGTTCAGCATATTGCTAGCACAAGACTGGTACAACTCAAAAATTAAAAAAAAATTCAACTTTTGCCTAATCATAATCATTGTTTTGGTTATAATTATAAAAAGATTATTAATTTTTGAGTAGTCACTAAACTCGACTATATATACTCCAGTTGTGGTGTCCTGGAAACTGTCGAGCATGTGATCACCAATTGCACAACGTTTGAGGCACTGAGGGCCATGCTAAAAAGGAGTATTAACATCCTCACAGAAGAATTCCCTCAACTCGTCTCGGCAGAAAACTGCCCACACTACCAAGCCTTCATATGTGTAATGAAATAGTATGCACAGTGCAACCGGGGTGATTCCAGAATAGATATATAGAGAAGAGTAAAATTTTATTGTTCTTATACAATAAATTGAAATTCTGTATTGTTGAGAGACAAGAACGGTAGAGAAAATAAATAAATAGACATGATCATCCATTTAGGTAAGATTACTTTGATCTAAAAGAAATCACACAGATGAGTAGTTGAATAAAATAAAATACAAAGACACAAATTAGAATAAAGCATCAAAACAGCACTAAAGTTACTATAGCATATGTTGATGTAACAAGATATGGTGCATTGATAATAAACATAGTGAGCTGTTAAAAATAAAAATCAGTTATTTAAGCAGCCTTAAAATAGGCCTCTATTATAGTGTAATGACATCAATTGCACTCTTATGCTGAAGATAAAATAAATGTATAAACCATACAAAAGCTTGTGAGATTACAGGCTAGGATGAGGATAGATCTCAATGGGTAGAATCGTAATAGGCAAAAGAATATTTTCAAACATGTAAAGTAAATCATTACTGATAGATGAGAAACATGAATACAATGTTATTCAAAACAAACAAAATTGGACAGCTGGATCAAAGTTAGCTTAGGATCAATAGCCCTGGAGCCAGGGTCCAAAAATCGACCTGATCGCAGACGAATGTTTGATTGTAAATTACAAAAGTGTATGTTATTTGGAGTAAAAAGAACCTTGTCTGCCGTTCCAGAGCAGCTGCTTTCAAAAATGGCAGCTGATTTAAAGAATATTAGGCCAATAATTTGAGGATCGAAATGGAAAATCCATAGTGAAAAATATGAGAAAAGTTTTAATTTTTTTAACTTGTATATATGGGTTTAGACATGTAAAAAACAAAATTGCTAACACGGGCCACCAAGGGAAAACTTTTAACAGCCAAAAAAGTCAGATTTTTGGGTTTTTCACCTATAACTCCTGAACGATGCATCAAAGCGAAAAATGTATTCTTTTATTTATTAAAGAACGTTAAATTTTGTGTCAAACGAGTATATAAACTTTAAAATTTGGTTACGTGGTATGGTCAACCAACGCTGATTTTTACCAAATTTGTCAAAAACTGAGACAAATTACTATAAATGGCTCTGAAACTTGGAAATGAGTTCCCTAAGAGAAAAAACCCATAGAATATAAGTTGTAGAGCATCAAACTTTGTGTCTACTGACTACTGACTTTATTATTGTAGGCCAATTATGTATCTCGAATCGGGATTTATTATTCCTTAATAAAATTCGGTATCTTTCGACACATCATTTACCAAATCCTTTGCTGTTGAGAGGTGGAAAAGAGGCTTATACTGCATCTAACAGGCTCAAAACAAAAATAAACCATACTGTTGAAATATTGAAAATCACGTTTACCTTCATAACCAATTTCTACCCATCGGGAGATTACCGACTTTATTCGCAGCAAGTGACCTATATTAAATTAGTTGGTACTCAGTTGACGCAAAATTTGATGCTCTACAACTTTGATTCTATGGGTTTTTCCTCTTTGGGAACTCATTTCCAAGTTACAGAACGTGATAAAGAAGACCCTTAATCTCATCTGAAATGATGCAAGAGATTTGTTAGTCCCTTAAGTGAGGCCATTCATGAATACATTTGTCGACACTTTGTTATTTTCGGAGTTCAATATATAACATGATTGATCTGCTCCAACTCAAATTGATGTGGCACCTCTTATGTAATATAAAATTAAATTTTGATATAATGGCTATGATGAGTGATGGAAGTTATAATAATAACAATAATCAAATTTTTATGTATTATTTTAAAATATATGTAACAAAAAATCAATAATAATAACTTCAAACAATTAAAAATTCAGTAAAACATTATGCAACCATTTTTATTAATTAGTCAGCAACTGTAACACGTTTTAAAAAGGAGGGATTTACAATGAGTCTTTGAGCAAAAATTCTCTAATATTAAAATAACAATCAACAACTATTCAATTTTTCTTGGTACTGTAATTTATCTAACAAAGAATCTTTATATTGCTGCGCTAGGGCAATATTAGGAAGAACAATTGCTATGTATCCTCGGCCTTGGGGCTCGGTAATCAATAAATTAGGATTTTGTAATAACTGTTCATTTACCTCCAACAATTTACCTGATATGCCACACTTCACAGAATAAGTATTTCCATCTGCACAAGTCACTAACATTATTGTAGATGAAGGTTGTAGTCTTTGTGCTCCATGCTTCAATTTTCCAGAAACTTTATTTTTCAGTCTGTTTAGATCATGTGATACTTGGAAACTAACACTAGAAATGTCTTTATTTTTAAACAAAACATGAGATGGTGCAAGAGTTATCAAGCATACACGGTTTGAATGTATTAAAATGCAGTAATCATCATCAGGCTGAGTAACATTCATGCAATATCTTGGAGTATAGTATCTTTGAACAACAGATGAATATTTATCACACTCGTTTGGGTCGTAGTCAATAGGCAAACTTTTGAAATCCATTGATAAAAACCTAATTAAATACTTTCTAGGAAAAACTAAATTGACAACAGCACAGAAACTATGTTTTGTTTTTAACTATGACATTTCCATCTTGATTTTCAAATGTTGGAGGAAAATATCGATATGAAAACATCGAAAAATCGATTACTTTATTACAACGTTCCAACATCATTTAAGAGAGATATAACAAAACGTTGAGAAGTTCAAAATAATTCGTTTTTTTTTTTTTAAATTATATTTTAGATGGATCTAGTTATTTACTCCCATCGATGTCAGATCCAATGGTCATTTTTTTTAAAGCTGATTTTAACGTCCATGAATATCGAGTACTGTTTCATCAACTTATTAATGAGGTAAGTTTGACAAATTTTTACAATTGTAAAATATGTCCTTGCGATATGTTTTCCCAGACATTTCTTCAGTTATTGGACAGTCGTTGGAAAAAATTAATGGTTTCTCATATGTCTAACTTATCATTCATAACCAAGCATGCTCAAGTAGGTTGAAGTCTTGGTAGAAAATAGAGTATCAGAATTTACTTAAGTTGTGTGAGGCCTCACATTATCGTAGCACAAAATCATTCCCAACAAATGGTATAATATATTCTTGAAAGATATCTTTAAGATACTCTAATGACATTGATAGTACACTGACAGGCAAAAAATTCCACCCACTTGATTTTTTCATGTTTTCATCTATATTTCATGTAAAAAAAGTTGTATTTGTATATAATACATGGTATTTGTAGATAATACTTAGTATTTATGGAATTTTATAATCTTTTTTACCTTTAATAATCAAAATGTGATTGGGTAAGAAAGATTAGAGAAAAAAAAATTGAAAAACGAACCATTATTATTCTAAAAGAAATTAATTACATCATCGTTTAATAGCGAGTGTTTCCTCCTTTTGCCTTCACTACTTCTTAAAGACGCTTCGGCATACTTTCCACCAGTCGGGAAATGTCCCTTTGCTGGAGGATAGCCCATTCCTCCCGAAGAGCCCTTTCAAGGTCCTGTAGTGTATCAGGAATTGTTGCACGCGCTCTTATTAGTCTTCCGAGGTTATCCCATAAATGCTCAATGGGGTTCAAATCTGGAGAACGTGCTGGCCAGGCTAAAACCTTAATATTGTTCTGTTGAAGGAACGCCTGCACTATGCGGGTGACATTTGGGCGTTCATTATCGTGCATTATAATAGAACGATCGCCGATTTCGTTGAGGATAGGCAACACATGAGGTTCCAAAATCTCATCTACATAGCGAATGTCCGTCAAAGACCCTCCAGGAACAACAACCAATTCTGTGCGGCGCTCCATTGAAATCCCAGCCCACACCATTAAGGAACCACGTTGGAAAGGTTGGCTCTGGGAAAAATTACAGGCTGCATATCTTTTGTTTCTTCTTCTCTACACCCTTTCACGCCCGTCTGGAGATCGAGGAGCGAATCTTGACTCATCTGTAAAAAGTGTAGCACTCCATTCGTCCATAGTCCAATGGCTGTGTTCTCGAGCAAAAGCCAGCCGTGTTATTCTGTGAGTTCTGGTCAACTCTGGTCCTCTTACTGGACGGAAAATCATTAATCCATACTCATTTAATCTCCTCCGAGCGGTACGTTCAGAAATTGGCAAACCTCGAACTTCTTCGAGCTGCTGAATCGCTTGAGCAACGGTAAGGTGCCGGTTTCGTAAAATTCTCTAAGTCAAAAACCGGTCATCCCGTGGTTCTGTTACCCTTGGCCGTCCAGAACCGGGCCTTCTATTGTAAGAACCAGTTTCCCGAAAACGCCTGACGCCGTCTCGTAAAGTTTCATATGGAATTCCGATGGCATTAGCTGCATATCTAATGGAACGTCCATCGTCAATAAGTGCCACACCACGCGCAACATCTAAAAGGCATTTTTAAACTTAGTATTGAAAAAATTAAAAGCCGGAGACTAAGAAATGTGCTGTAAGAAACGGCACTGAACTAATGATATTGAATAAACATTTTGATTCCAAGAAAGTAAACATTGGATTCTAGAATCATTTCATTGAATTAAGGATTAAGGGTTATTGTCCTCTATATTAACATTCCTAATTGAAAACAAACAAAAAGATTACCTATTTATTCATTAAAAACAATAGACCAATCCAAAGCAGAAATATTTTTAGATGAAAACATGAAAAAATCAACTGGGTGGAATTTTTTGCCTGTCAGTGTACATGCATATATGTATATGCAAAGTCTGACTGTGCAAAACACAATTAATACAAATTTCACCCGAAACCATTACTGAGCCTCTCTGGTAACACTTTCTCAAAGACACTCTCAAGTAGGCATGGTGAATATCTTTCACCTGGTTTTCTTCACAGTCTCTCTTCCATCTGGTGAGTGTAAAATGAATCTTTTCACGTCAGTATTTGTCCAATCGATAGGTACCCGGAGAAACTAAAGTCTTAAAACTTTGTCCATTCTAGCAAGTTTTGTAATCTCATTTTCTAGCATTTATAACAACTGTATTAATTCTCCTCACTAGCGGATCCAGGATTTAATTTTGGGGGGGGGGCTTCAGCCCGAAACCTTTTATTTTTCATAAAAATAACGATAATTACTTTGGAAAAACAGAAAGAAACTAACTACCTATATGAAATGGTGTTTAAGTTATCCCTTAAGTACTTTTAAATGTAATTACACGAACAATAATACTTTAAGAGGTATTTTTTAAATTTTTTTCCCCATAAAACATGGTTATATTTTTCCATTTTGGGAGGGGCTTCAGCCCGAAAGCTCCCCCTCCCCCCGTAGATCCGCCCGTGATTCTCCTTGTAATCCTCCAAATTCTCCTCGAGAATTTGCATGAATTTTAAATTTTATTGTGTTAATGTGGGTAAATATTTGATTATAATAATAAAAATGCAAAAAGTACTAAATTTTCCTAATGTATATTTGAAAAGATAATTAACGTTATAGAAAATTAGTAGGATGTACCTACGTAACGAGAGTGTAAATGTGGGTACCTCAGGTGCTCCCAGCGGCTCGGTCATACCGGGGTATCTAATGGTTTTTAGTTTAAAATAGTTTTCCAATTTAATAGTTACCAATAGTTTAATAGAAGAATAGTTTTCCAACTTAATACTTCCATCGAAGAAATATCTTAATCAAAATATCACCATATATTTTGAATGTATTTTACTAGGCTATATAAATAAAATAAGCTAGTCATAAAAATATAGAAACAGCCCACAAGAGAAATAATTACGCATTTCTGTAACATTATATATTTTTAACATCACCATTGATGTTAAAATAACGTAAACTATTTAGTCGATGGAGCTAATTAAATTAATAAAAACCAAAGCAACTCAATAATAAACACTAAATTCTAAGGTATATTTTTTAAAATCTTATATTCGTTATTTTGGAAAGATTTTTTTTTTCTCTTAAATTATTTATCCGCACCTGTCATGGTGTTGACAATTCAATCGACATTCAGGAATGCTCATTCCGTTAAGATAAATGGTGGATGATCCCTCTCCCAAGACATTGTATTGCTCTCCTCGTCTTAATGCTGCAAGCGAATTAGAATTCTAAAAACTGTAATTTATATACAATGACTCCATATTTCTTTCTTTATTTCCTGATAATTGGAATTTAAAAGTTCCTCAAAATTGAAATATTACCAGAATATGGCTCTTATCAAAAATTCATTCTCCTAAGGAACATAAATGTGATCCTCTCAAAAATTCATAACACTAAGGCACATAAATGTGCCCCCTTAAAAATTGTCATTGTGCAATTTGGACCACCAAATCCTCTTCTAGTATTATTGATTTTTTTTTTTTTTGTAGGATGTGTATGTACTACATTTCAATACCACATCATCTATCTCTAAACCTTTAAACATTTAGATTTGATTTTAGATAAATTTTAAATTTATGTGATGAGTGAGATTCTGAGAATTTCACTCCTGTGGGTACTGCTATCCCCTTTTTAAATGGGAATTTCTATAGCTTTGTGAATTAATGTATTGTTTAAAGTTATTATGAATGCAAACTAAGCAACCTTTTTATGAAAATCACATTTTATATTTTGTTTGTAGTTGTTTACAGGTGTACAATCCTCAGGGCATCAACGCCTGAATTCACATTTTATATTTTTAAAACTCATTACCAGGGATGCCCACCCCTTCCTTCCTCTAGGTCATTAGCGCATGAACCTCCACCCTCCTCCCAAGATATTTTATTGCTCACCACTTCTTAAAAACAGTAGGACCTAAAGTAGAATTTTAAAAATCATAAGTCATATACAATGACACTTTCAGTGCTCTATTCTATACCTACCTCTTGTCCCCTATTTGAAACTTTTCATTTCAAAAATTCATAACCCCCTCAAACATTTTGTTAGTGCAACTTGCTTCATGAAACAACCTTTTGGGCACTCCTGCACATTACTACAATGGTTTGCAATAGCGGATCCAGGATTTCATTTTGGAAGGGGCTTCAGCCCGAAATGTTTTTTTTTCTTTTTCAAATAAAACGATAATTACTTTGGTAGAAACAGAAACTAACTACCTATACAAAAAGGCATTTAAGTGAATCTTGAAATTCTATTAAATGTAATTACACGAACAATAATACTTTATGAGATTTTTTTCCATAAAACATGATTATTAACAATTAGAACCAACGTATCAAAAGGAAAAAACACTATACATATGTATTTCTTTCTGTTCAGCTAAATTATTTTAACTGCCAAAATTGACTGTCCCACAATTTAAATTATACAGAAGAATTAATTGAACAGTTAAATGGTAAAAACATTCCTGCTTCCATGAAACATCTTTAATTAGTCTGATATTATAGATGCTTTTATGTAAATTTTGTGGATGTGATTTATCATTTATTGAAATAGAACATTATTATTATATGCCTAAGACGTTAGGCAACTTTTTCCATAAAATCGATAGACTGTAAGCGACATCTTATATCATCAATTTTAAACATTTTTCTCAGAGGTAGCTTTAAGTATTTTGATTTAATTCATTATATCAATGTGAAATTAGGTTGTCTTTATTATAAGGCAAGTATTCTTCTCATTGAAGTAGTCTGGCATGGCTTCAATGCCAAATTTTTAAAATGTCTTCCTCTAAAGTACCTTTGATTTTGAGAAGGAGTTAGTTGAGGGTGCGGTCAAATAATTAAAAAAAATTAAAATATATAAATAATTTTAATTTTTGCCGACGTTTCGACCCACTTTGCAGGTCGTCTTCAGGGCTACAAAAGATACAAACATGTTGAAAAAATAAAAATAAAATAAAAAATAAATATAAGTATATATAAATCATCATTTATTTATTATTTATTTATTTATATATTTTAATTTTTTTTAATTATTTGACCGCACCCTGAACTAACTCCTTCTCATATCATATCAACGGTCAACCATCTCTACATCATTACCTTTGATTTTGTTTATTTGAAATAACTAACCATTTCACATGGTAACTAGTAATAAAAAAATAGTTCAATATGAACCATGATTAAAATTACCATAATTAAAAGCAACATAAGAGATGTGGGATACCTGAGCTAGACCAAAAGGTTAGGAGAGCTCTTTATAGGTGCTTAATATGATACATCATAGATGAATTAGTTGTAGGCTCAAAAATTCTTGTCTAACGAAAAACAAATTGGTGGCACTTATTGTAAATAAACAAAAAATTAAAATTTAGTCATAGAAGGAAATGGTTAGAAAAAAAATTTATGAATTTAATCTGTCAGAGGGTTGGAAAAACATATGGTAATTAATTAATATGTTGTATCATACATAATTTTTACTTTTACTTCGCAACATATAAAAGTCCTTATTTTTACTCTAAATACAATGGGCAAGTGAAAGATGTGTGATGCATCGTACTAGATTTTTGTTATTTATGAAGTGCAATCTCAATATTATGCCTTGGGTTCTATAGTTTACACTTGGGTTCTATACAGCTCAAATTTAGGCCATTTTTTCCCTATATAAGCAACCAATTATTTATAAATTTTTTTTTTTCCTTATTCCTCAACTTTTTTTTATCTTCCGCCATAAGCCTTCAAGCAGCTCTGTTAAAGGTGATAGTTGTGATCGTTTCGTTCTCTTGATATCAAAGGAGCATGTGGTTTACAATAATTGGACATGATCACATTCACTCCCTCTTCATCAGGCACTTTTCTGAAGGATGATTGGCAACCGTTTACAGCCATCTCCATCCTGTTTTTTTATTGGATAGGGGATTATCAATCCTGTGCCCAGCCAATATGGAGCTATGGTGTAAGATACAGGGGTTGGTCACCTCTCTGTGAATCTCTGGGCAGAGACGTAACCGTCTCTCTGCGGGAATTGAACCCGCGCGGTAGTGGCCTATGCATGAGTAGGGACTACACTTATTCATTTTTAATTTATTATTGTTAATTTTTTTACCTCTTTTTTTTTTTTTATTAAACACTGTGAACAGGGTTTGAACTCAAGATATAATATTTTTGCAGGCTCATTAACTCACTCGACCACTACTGCACCAACTTATTAAATGGTTTCCGGTCTTCTTATTATGTCTTTAACAAGAGGTGATGATGAAGGATAATAGATGACCGAATAGATCCAGAACCCAGTAATCTCTCATATATAAAAATAAAACAGAAGTGTCAGGACAATAATAAAGTGGAGTTACTAAAACTATAACGTGTGAGGAACCCTACAGACATAAAAGGAATTAAGAGCAATAATGGTTATTAATTTCTGACCAAGTTCACATAAATAAAATTTCTCAATTTTTACACTATTGTCTAAATAGTGAAAGGCAAATAAGTAATCTGAATGTTTAAAATGCAACTGCAAATAACTTTGATGTTTCTTTAATAACATTACATTATTCTTTACAAAATAAGTACGAAAAAATCTATTTCATAATACACAAATTCTTAACATAAGTATCACAACAATATATACGTACTTTTAAAGCTAATATAAAAGGTATCAGATTACTAACACAGAAAGATTATTTAACAACCCTTTTCACATATTTCAATTCGTGAGTTAACCAAACAGCAAATGACAAAAGAACCAAAGATCCTGACTGATGCAAGGCTGCAAGAGAAACTGGCACATAATGTACCAGTGCTGTAATTCCTAGAAGAACCTGTATGAAAATGAAACATGGTTTTAGTAGATAATTTAACTATAAATATAGACTCAATTTTGAATATAAAGCCTTACCTGGGTCCAAGCCATAATAGCTAAAGCATTAGCAGCTTTGTAAGCTCTCGGGGGAAGAGTTCTCTTTCTAGACAGTAACCATAGACCAGAAATTACACTGAGAGTTGTAATACCCTAAAAACGAAAAAAAAAAAAAAGTTTAACTAAACTAGTATCAGTAAAAACTAAAAATATTAATTAAAAAAATACAACAAAATAGCAACAACAACTTACAAGCATTCTATGATCAAATTGTACAGTCACTGGATTTTCAGTGATATTGCTAATTTTAGGTGTTAAAGCTAATATTTCATCTGGTATCCATTTATCTCCCATTTTTGGGAAGGAATTATAAACCAAGCCGGCATCTAATCCAGCTACAAATGCTCCTAAAAAAAAAAAAAAAAAAAAAAAAATGTTGAATATATTTATTTATATTCAATTACAATAATCAATGAAAAGAAAAAAATATTTTTTTAATATATTTTTTATTTATTCATGATATTTACAACTGTATTAAAAAATTAAATACATTAAGTAAATTTGGTAATAGAAAATAATAACATGAAATGACTTGTTGAGAAACTACCCACTGGTAGCACTCTAAAAAATAAGAGATCTCGAAGCCATCTTCTTTTCAGACACCTCGGAGGTTTATCAGGAATAGAAGAGGAAGCAAGGTTAGAGAAGAGAGGATTCGGATGGTTCTGAAGTTTATTATGGAAGGATTGGTATCTGGATTGGGCCAAATCGGAAACATAATTAACATTAAGGTCATTATGGATTATTTTATTGGTGACAAAGTAAGGAGCATTGAGGATTGGATGTAAGGATTGGATACGAGAGGAATTCGATGGCTTAGTGGAGCCCCAAAGCTCAACTCTGTAAGTTCAAATAGGTGTTATTGTAGTCATGTATATAAGTCTTTTGTAATTAACTGGAAGCTTGGAGCGTTTGTCTAGTAAGTGTTGGAGTAGTCGGAAACGTCGAGAGGTTTCTTGTCATTTCAGTCTGGTATGAGGATTCCAAGTTAGACGTTTGTCCAAGTGAAGTCCAAGGTATCGGATTTGTTCAACAAGGATAAGTGGGGTATTATTAAAGGATACTGTGGGACATGAGGTCATAGGTTTACGTTGAAGGGTAAAGGTGATTTGATGGGATTTATTAGAATTTATTTTAATCCTCCAGTTTTGATACCATTCTTCAAGGCTTGTGATGTGTGATAGAAGAGTTTTGGATGCAATGGTTGGGTCATTATTAACGGATAGGACACATGTATCATCGGCATACGTGGTAATAACAGTGTTAAGGTACTATTTGGCTGGCACGGTCGACGACAGCGACTGCTATTCCCCCCTGCCAACCGCTGTTGGCGTACCTATTTCGCTGAAACTGCTCCCTGGGGTTGTTATAACCTGCCTATAACCTTCGAACATTTCGCTGTATCTTTGAAGATAAAAAGATAGACATAATATAAGAATAAAAATGAACTTCCTATAATAATGAACATCTCTGACTACCGCTTTTTTATTTGAGTTGGAAAAAGAAGAGAAAATGTTGTTCATAAAGAGAAGGAATATCAGTATTTCGATGTGATGCTCATCATCAAAGTTCCTCTGATATTACATATTATTAGTTTGAAAAATAATAGTAATTAATACATAATTGGTTAGTAATAAATATCATATATTTGTGATTAAATCTCAGCAAGCGATGTTTTATAGTTTTATCAATAGTAATCAGTAAATCACCACTTTAATTAAAAAATACAAATCGTTTTTTCAATGGGTGGATTTTAGTATTTACCTGACGATAAAATTTGTTGGATTCTTTATAAATTATAAATTAATAAATTAATTATAAATTTATTTAATATCGTTTGGATTTAGGTATATTTGTATTTCGCTGTAAAATATTGCTGGTGGAATAAATAAATAAATAATCTTGTTACTTCAACCTCAAAAAAATAATTTACTATTGCATTGTTTCAGTTTTAAACAATATTTGTTATAATTTTGCCAGACTTTAAAGAAACATAGGAAATAAAACATATCGACGGGACTGTTATCATCAAAACAATGCTCTGATATGATAACATAACCTACAACCGCTAACAGCTCCACTGCTTCAAGAGGAGTCAGATACGAGCAGCTTAGATATGACATCATACCTAAACTGCCGAGCAGCGCCAGCGAAATAAGTTCCTTTCTATTCCACTAAAGCAGTGGTCAACCGCGAGCAGTCGCGGTCGTGGACCGCGCCAGCGAAATAGTACCTTTAGGATGGGTTGGGATGTCAGCTGTATAAACTGTGTAAAGGATAGGACCAAGGATACTACCTTGAGGAACACCAGCAGACTGGGAAAAGAGGGATGAATAAGCATTATTGTGATTGACTTTTGAGTATCTATCAGTTAGATAGGAACGGATAATGAGGAAGTATGTAGGATGTAGCAATTTACGGAGTTTGTAAATTAGTCCCGGGTGCCAGACTCGATCAAAAGCCTTTTTTAAAAGATTAAATCTCTAATTTATGTTATGTTTACAGAATATATCAGATATGAAACGATATTTCAAGGTCTATTACTTTGGCTTTGTAATAATTAATTTGATGTCAGCACCTTGGTAAAATTTAATGATCTTAATGGATTATTAATGACCATCTAATAAAGAATATAAGATGATGTATATTATTAGTTCCAGTGTGTTTATTTTTGCATCATTCATCTTTAATTGTAAACAATCCCAAACAAGGAGATCAATTATATATATTTAATTCATATACACTTGGGTTGTTTTGGGATTCCACCTACGATGTGCTCTAAGTGATTTTGAAACCAGCTACATCTTGGTGTAGTGATTTGGAACTGTCATTAGTACAAATAATATTTTAGATAAACAGAAAGACCAATTAATATGGATAACATTTCTTCATTCAAACAATGTTATTTAAGAAATAACTAATATTTGACTTTTATTAATAGGTATTAATGATTACCTGAAAATGCAGTTAAAAAGACAAGTCCTTTAGAGGCATGTGCAAGCCCTCTAAATCTTCTAGCACTTTTGGTGATTTCGGTCAATTTCTGTGCAGGAATCAAATGATCAAGTGCTGACCAAAGAAATGCAGTATAAAGAATAAAAGCTAGTGAGAGATGACTTGCAAGTCGGTACTGAGAAACTCTGACCACATCATTCTGTGTAGGAAACCTGTCTTCCAAGCCAGATTTCACCATGTACCATCCCATTAAACCCTAACAGTGAAAATGGATTTGAGAAGGAAATAGAGTTTTATTAAAGTAAATAAATCATTATTAGTGTCGAGGGAATTACTAATCCATACTTGAGCAGCAATCAGTAATCCAAAAGCAAATACTCGTTTTTTCATAGCAGAGCTGAAGTATCCTTTTGTCCAAAAGTAAGTGGCTGGAAATAAGAAAGCAGCACCTATACATCTTCCCCACATACGGTGAGCATATTCCATCCACCAAATTCTTTTGAATTCTTCTAATGTTATATCCATATTTTTCCTTAAAAAGAGAAAATATATAAGGTATGCATAAAAAAAAAAAAAGTAAGTCAAATTACTCTTAGTAATAGTAAAATACATTTTATACTCAGGGAACTGTTTGTAAAGTTCAAATTCTTTTTCCCAGTCCGCTTGGTTGAAAGGAGGTTTTTCTCCAAACAGTTTCCACGTTACCATTGAGAGTCCAGATTCTGTAAGTCTTGTTACTCCCCCTAAGATGTAAATAATGACCATAAATTCAAACTTAGAAATATATCCAGGTAATAAAAAATAAATTGGAATTAACAAAAAATATCTATAAGTTACCTAAAACAACAGCACCAAATACCATTCCACCGCATCCCAACAACCAATAACCAACGGCCTTCTGTGCCACTGCATTTTTAGAAGCAATAGCATGTACAGCTAATGTTTCTGACTTCCTAACTAAGTTCTACAAAAATTAAAAGTAAAGAACTGTTTTTGTTTTTCATGTTTTTTTAAATGAAATGAATCATAGCAAGGGTCAAGCATAATAATTATTCTTAAGAAATAACTTACAAGTCCAAAATTATGAGGTTTAATAAGGATTTTTCTCGATCCATTGCTGAAACCATGAAATAAACGACTTGCCTTCACCTAAGATTTGAATAACAGCTGAATAACATACTAGATAATTCAAATTTCCAAAATTTATTCAACAAAATATCTACTTGTGTAAATGGAGAAACAAATGTATTCCGAACACCACAGGTAATTACTCTCGAAAACACACCAGCCATTTGTTTACAATATTATGCAATTCTAGAGAAAAAACTTCTAACACTTTTTAAGGTCATAACCTCTCTGAAGTGTACAATTGCGCAATAAATGTTATTAGTTTAAAAACATAAATTAATATTATTGTTATAATTTTATGACCACAAAATTAGGTTAACATTGAGAAAATGTTATGGCTAATAAAAAAAATAGTTTATACATTTCAAAAAAGAGGATCTTAGTAAGTTCATACTCAAATAACTAATTTCTGGGTTGACAATAGTTCAAAGTTTATTCTTTTGGTCTTAGTTCTTTTGTTAAAGTTGACTCTTTAGATTTTTTGGGGGAGGAAGACGCATATCTGTTAACAAAAGATTGTTTTATTACAATCAGCGTTGTGTGCCAGTAGCCTACAGGCTGCCATTGTAACAACGTATTGGTTTACTTTGCCACTGAGGCAGCGCCCCCCTTCCAAGTACGAAAAATAACAGTAAATAAACAACAACAAATGTAATATAAATAAACAATACATTCCTGCGAAATTGAATGATAGTGACCGTTTGGTAGTTCAGTAGTATCTCAACTTCTTTAAAGAAATAAATTAAATAAAAGGACACCTTTTCTACTAGAAAAAATATATTGCTTTGAGGGATTTTTTTTTAACTGGCTTCACGCTTGAAAAGGATACCAATTAGGGTATTTCTCCAACCTAAGGTCAATATTATATTGTCCAGTGCTTTAAGCTGGCTTCTTCGGATAATAACAAGCCATTAAGCTAAATAAGCCGGCAATAGAGACTTTGAGAGAAATGTTCAACATTAATATGAACAGCGTTAGTTTTTTCAGCGTTAGTTTGTTAGGGATGGACGGTAGTCGATAGTACTGTCGACATTTCTAGTGACTATCGTTAGTTTGTGTTCTTTCTTTAACACAAATTATTTAAAAATTTTATACACTTAGAGAATAATTGTAATAACACACGTTCCTATTTCCACCCATTCATTGATGTACGAGATATAGCGATAATACAATAATGTAAAAGTTAGATGTTTGATAATGGAAAATTGCTATTGCATAATGGAAACGCCACATTAACAAAATAAATAGATGGAGGTGTGTTTAAAGCTATTGTTATCAATATATAAAACTGAAACAAAATTGAACAAGAAGCCTTCATGGTAAAACATAATTTAATCACAAACCACTTTTTTAGAAACATTTTTACACCTCCAGTTGTGCTGATGGAAAAAAAGTTACATTTACCTCCTCTTTTTTATTTCTTTTTCATAATTAAAATATATTTATAAAACCTACAAGGATGCCATTACAGTTTTATTATATTTTAAACTAAGTGCTATTAATGAAATAAATTTAGAAAATTATAATCTTGGAAATAAAAATACATATGCATTTCTCGCCCATTTGTTTTTACAAAATAATTAAAAAAATACTACCTATATGTTGTCGATGTTTCTTGCTTGAATTCTACATTCAGGAAAATAAATGCAAATAATTTTTCTATATAAGTTTCTTTTCCTGTCAATAATTTTGTTAATTATTTATGTAATAATTTTTACTAATGCTTTAAAATAAACATTTAAGGATGTAGCCAATATAAATGTTAATTATTATAAAGTTTATGCAGAATTTTAAAGCAAATAACTAAAGAGTACAGCGAAAATAAATCCTCTTTAAGTCTGTGCCGGGAAGCTACTGAACTATCGACACTATCGGTAGATAAATATAATTTTAATAAGAGATAAATTTAATTTTACAATGTGTTATTTAAATAAGCTGTGGAGGGTGGAAAATACATTTTTAAAGATTTCTAATTTGTTCTTTGAAATGCAGGTGAAAATTAGTTTTTCAAGGAATACCAGAATTTCCCATCAGCCTTCATATGAATAAATGCTCAGATAAACATGAGTGGAGTAAGTAATCAGGAAATTTGTTATTACTTTGACTACATTCTATTAAATGTGTAATATTAAAAGCTTTTGTAAAATATTGTCTTTGAGATTTTTACGCAAGGTTTTTTTGGCTATTATGTCAAACAGGATTTATGTTTTATTAAATAGTTAATAATAATCACTATTAATGCATAATTATGAATAATTGTCTAACAGAGAAATCATAACTAAAGCGTCTTATTTATTCCCAAGAAGTAATCATTATAATTTTAATTTATTGTATTTTTAAAAGCAAAATATTGGATAAATTATTTTCTAATATCATTTAAGCACCTAATTGTTTTTCTGGAGGAAAAACAGGTAGAAATTTCATACAGTTCTTTGAATAGTTTACGAATTTCCATTCTTTACAAAAACATAAATTTCTCCTATATTTCATCATAACATGGTGACATCATACCATTTATGAAAGGATAGCTAATTTATAAAATATGATTAGTAAATAATTTGAAAAAATGAAACTTAATTTTTCCTAACTACTTATTGATTATTTTATAGTATAAAATTATTAATACTTTTGAAATAAAATGAATAATTGGAGTTGAAGATGAGCACTATACACTTATGCCAATATTTAATTGTCTTTCAAAGCATTAGAAGATTGGGGATTTAATTTTGTTTCTAATAACAATAATTACTCTGGAAGGAAAAAAAAGAAAGAAACCATAAAAATGATATTTAAGTAGGGCTGTTAGAAAAAAATGAATTTTTTTTTTTTTTTTTTTTTTATTTCAATGGAATTTACAGCTGTATTACATAGAGAATACAATAAGTAAATGAGAAATTTGTAACATGGCATGTACAACATGAAGAGAAACTACCCATTGGTAGAACTCAAATTAAAGTTCTATATTAGAAGATCCCGAGGCCATCTTCTTTTCAGACGCCTCGGAGGATTATCAGGGATCGAGGATGAAGCAAGGTTTGAAACGAGAGGATTCGGATGATTCTGCAGTTTGTTATGGAAGGAAAGGTATCTGGATTGGGCCAGATCGGAAACATATGGAACATTAAGGTCTTTATGGATGATTTTATTTGTGACAAAGTAAGGAGCGTTGAGGATTTTACGAAGGATTTTGGATTGTAAGGATTGGATACGAGAGGAATTCGATGGTTTAGTGGAGCCCCAAAGCTCAATTCCGTAAGTCCAAATAGGTCTTATTATTGTCATATATACGAGTCGTTTATAATTGATTGAAAGCTTAGATCGTTTGTCTAGTAAGTGCTGCAGTAGTCGAAAACGTCGGGCGGTTTCTAGTCGTTTCAGTCTGGTATGGGGGTTCCAAGTGAGTCGTTTGTCAAGGTGGAGTCCTAAGTAGCGGATTTGTTCAACAGGAATAAGTGGAGTATTATTGAAGGATACTGTAGGACAAGAGGTCATAGGTTTACGACGGAGGGTAAAAGTGATTTGATGGGATTTGTTGGAATTTATTTTTATTCTCCAATTTTTACACCATTCTTCAAGGCTTGTGATATGTGATTGAAGAGTTTGGGATGCAATTAAAGGATCGTTATTAACTGATAGGATACACGTGTCATCGGCATAGGTGGTGATGACAGTGTTGGAAAAAAAAACAAAAAAAAAAACAGTAATCATTAGAGTAATCATGCTTTTAGAGGTAGTTTTAAAATCATTTTTCTTAATTTGTGCTTACATTTAGTATCTATATATCCATTATTTGATTTTTGAAAAGTGAATAACGCTACTGTTGGTGGAAAAGGTCATATGCAACAATTTTCCATGTTTATTTTAATTGTCCTAAAGGTGACATTTTGTAGTCTGCAACTGCAATAAGTAGTCTGTTACTATGGAAATTAGCAGATGGAAATAAAATATGAAATTCCAATTATAAGACATAAAGAATTAATAAATTTTTATGCTCTTGTGTAAAAAAACTCAATTTTCAAATACAACCCCCCCTCCATCCTGAATCCACCAGTGATTCAAAATGCAGATACCTTTCATGGCTCCCTATATAGCATATAAAATTACTTAAATGCTCATTGTAGAATTTTTATTAAAAATATATATATATTTTTGATTCCAAAGAGAAAAAAAATAAGATGTGCTAATACTTTTTGTAGCCATGGAAAACAATACATCCACTGTTGTATTAATTGAACTTCTTTGATTCATGGAGATGTATTTGATTAGGATAATATCAGAGAGGAGTGAATTTATTTGTTTTGATAAAATTGAAATAATAAATTTTTATGATGTAGGAAATAATTTTACTGCAAGTGGGACAGGCAGGTGTGCAAATGGGAAATGCTATATGGGAGCTATTTTGCATGGAACACTTGATTTATCCTGATGGTAGGTTAGCAGATCCTGAAGAAGAAGGACATAATATAGTATTTTATGAAACACCAAGAGGACAATTAGTTCCACGTGTCGTGTTTGTGGATTTGGAACCTACTTGCATAGGTAATTTTTAGATTTTTATACTAGAGGAGAGCGGGACTAAAAGTTCAAATTTTTAACAAACTTCAAATATTATTTAGTCCACATATTCTTCGTTATAAATCTAAAAGACTTTTGGGTGTACCTTTAATGAATATTTTTGTATGAAATTTAGTATATAAGAAAAACAAAAAATTAACGATTTACCCCAACTGGGGTATTTTCGAAAGATTGATTTTTTTTTTTTATAATAGTAATCACTTATAATTACTTCACATCTTTAATTTGTATTTTTATGTTATACATTATCTCACTTAATAATTAACAGCTGATGTAGCTAATTAGGAACATAGTTTAGATTATAATTAGTATTACAAGAGTCACAGGACAAATATGAATTAAGATATACTATAGACTTATATTTATCTCTTTTCGTTTTGGAGCTATCTCATATGGAACAACCTACCATGGTAACTTTTAGCCCCACTCTCACTTACTAATATTGTGGAATTCATTTAAATTATAAATCCTTTAAACATCATAATTTTAATGTAAAATCCAGATTTATTTAAAAATCAGTTTGAAAATTGAAATTTCAAGTTTATATCTCATAGTTATCTTAACAGAAATAATTTAAGAGACTTTCCATAATTCTAGATTCATGTGGTGTATCTAGATGAAATTCGAACTGGAGCTTATCGTCATTTGTTTGGGCCAGAATCCATGGTTTCTGGAAAAGAAGACGCTGCATCTAATTTTGCCCGTGGTTATTATTCTTTGGGTAATGAAATGAGTGAACTGTGTTGTGAGCGCATTAGAAGACAAGCAGAAAAAGCTAGTAAAGTCCAAGGCATCATGATCTTCAGATCATTTGGAGGTGGAACTGGTTCTGGATTAGGAGCTAATGTTATCACCAAGATCCAAAGAGACTTTCACCGCGCTGTAATAGTAGAATTTTGTATTTATCCTTCTCCTAGGGTCAGTATTTTTTAACAAATCTACTAATTCTAGACACACTATTATATTATATTCTTTCTAGTGAATAATTCAATACCAGTCGAAGAGTGAATTCATGAATTAGTTGAAACTTGCATTTTGTTTGCCCTAAATCTCCTTTATTATTTACAAATATACAGGTTGTCTCATAAGTAGAGGGAAATTTTTATAGAAGTGATAGGAGATATCTATAGCTACAAAAAAAGAAATCATAACTAAAGCATCTTATTTATTCTCAAGAAATAATCATTATAATTTTAATTTATTGTATTTTTATTTAATTGTTTTGTATATTTTTAAAATCAAAATATTGGATATATTGTTTTCTAATATCATTTAAGCCCCTGATTGTTTTTCTGGAGGAAAAAACAGGTAGAAATTTCATATAGTTCTTTGAATAGTTTATGAATTTCCATTCTTTACAAAAACATAAATTTCTCCTATATTTCATCTAAATGGTGACATTGTACCATTTATGAAAGGATAGCTAATTTATAAAATATGATTAGTAAATAATTTGAAAAAAATAAAACTTAATTTTTCCTAACTACTTATTGATATTATTCCATAGTATAAAATTATTAATACTTTTGAAATAAAATGAATAATTGGAGTTGAAGATGAGCACTATACACTTGTGCCAATACTTATTTGTCTTTTAAAGCATTAGTAGATTGAGGATTTAATTTTTTTTCAAATAAGAGTAATTACTCTGTAAGGAAAAAGAAAGAAACCATACAAAATGATATTTAAGTAAGGCTGATAGAAAAAAATGAAGTAAAAAACAACAGTAATCATTAGAGTAATCGTGCTTTCAGAGGTAATTTTAAAATATTTTTTCTTAATTTGTGCTTACATTTAGTATCTATATATGCATTCTAATTTTTAAAAAGTACATAGCTCTACTCATATAAACAATGGGCCAATTTCATACAAAAAATTGAAGCAATCATTTATTTTCTTTAATTTGCAATTAAATTATAGGACCAGGAACATTTAGTTTGTCACTTGTAAATACAAATAAATTTTTATAATAGAGATCTGGGTGAAAAACACTGTTGCATAACCACTTTTCCTGAAAAAATATTTGAAAAATCATTAATTAAAAAAAAGGTTATGTATAAAAAGTGCAATTAGGTGATTATGTTCATTATAATACATCCTATGGACATCTCTGCAACAATTAATTTTAGTAATTTTTGCTGAAAAAATGAGTACTGTCGAGTGAAAATCATGTAATTTTTTTTATACAACTTGGAGTGAAGCTCAAGGGTTTTTCTAATAAACCTCAACTTAATATGGACTTGAAAATCATTGAAGGAGGAAGTTTTTCTAAAAGTGCAGCAGCCTAATTTACAGTGAATCTATTGTTAATTACTTAAATTAAATATTTCTCTAGTTATAGCTTCCTGTGATACAAAAAAACACAAATCTTGAATTTCTTACTTTTTTGCTGAAAATTGGCCCATTGTTTATATGAACTTCTTTGTAGCTCTCGAGGTCTGCTACCACTTCTATAAAAATTTCCCTTTATTTACGGGACAAACTATTTACTATACGCATCGAAGGTATAATATCGTCTTCTATTCCCTGTAAATACTTTTTAAACTAATTGGTGAGTTAGGACACTTACTTCTACATGGATTTGCCTTTGAGCTGCCAAATAACTGTGGTTGAATCATAGTTGACTCAGATTTAGCTAATAATAATTTAAATATGTATTAACTCTTGGATAAATTTTTTTTTAATTATTAAATAAAAATGCATTTCATCTTTTATTTAATTATTATTATTTTTATTTGTTAGGTACACCTTTATAAAATAATACACGTATTTTGTTAGTTTATATACAAAATTTCCTTATGGACTCTTGGCTAGGCTGGAGCTAAATTTATGTCTCTTTCCAGTTATTGAAAAAAAATATTAACATGAAAATAGTTTTGATTTTTCAATGTTATTAATGTCATCAAATTTCAGTTTACTTTGATTATTTTTCTATTCGAGAAAGTTTTATGGAGCATATGATGAAGTTAAACTACTGGTTATTTTAATGGGTTCATGTAGCTACAACATAAACAAGATTTTCTGAGCTAAAACAATTTTATAATGGTAGACTTAAAAGAATCTTTGCATATTTAACTGGTCAATATCGAATGAATTAATTATTTATGTTTAAAAATAATGCAAAAGAGTACCTTTACACCTTGATGGAGTAGGCAATATTATTCCCAAACTAGAAAAATTTTTTGGTTTTCAATTTCCGTTTCTTAAAGAACTAACTATTAGTTTTGTAGAGAATCCATTTCCAAGTCAGTTAGGTTAGTTTTTATACAGATAATCAATGAAATTATTCTAGTGTTGGAGTAATATTATAACCATTGAAGTTCTTTTTTTTCAATTTTCAGAAATTAAAACATAATTTTTTTCTATTTTATAGATCTCTCCCATTATTGTTGAACCATATAATGCAGTCCTGACTACCCATAGTACTATTAGTAGTGGTAGTTGTTCATTTTTCTTTGATAATCAGTCAATTTATGATATCTGTGACACTCATCTCAATGTCAAAGAACCAACATATACCAATCTGAACCGATTAATAGCACAGGTAATGTTTTATAATTTTTTTTTCAAATTAATTATTTTAGAGTTATAAAATTCAATTGAGATAGCTTTATTTTGTATTATATACATAAACTTCAGTGGTTTGTCAATGAAAAACAAATATATATATGTATTTTTTTTGTGGTGGAGCTCCGTGATAGACTGAAAAGATTAATGAACAGTTGCGTGAGATTTGTAATTGGTGCCCCAAGATACTACCATGTCTCTCACCACTACACTGAGTTAGAGTGACTCTTCCTCTCCATTCGAAGACAATATTTCCTTGGTACATTCCTCTATCATATCATCAACAATCATCGTCTTTCTTACGCCTACAACCTTCTCCAATTTAAGCCCTCAGTCCACACCCTTCACCCCCACACCCTTCCACAAGATCTCGACCTTCCGACCTTTACATTCCTTCTCACAGATCTGCCTCATTCCAAAACTCCTTTATTGCTTGCTCTGTTGATTTTTGGAATTCCCTTCCTATCAAAATTCGGCATTCTTCATCCCTATCTACATTCAAACCCCTCCTATTCCAATTCCTGTCTCAAAAACACTCAGATACCCGCTAACCTTTTATGTAAAATTACATATTATTCATAATGCATTTACATATAGCTCATAACTTAAATACTTAATATCAGATTCGACTTTCTTTTCTTTTTTTTTAAACAGAAACACAGAGTTTACTGCTAAGAAGAATGTAATGTATTTTTTATTTTCCCTATAAGCGTATATTTATATTTTACCACTGTACATAGTTTTAAGTGTCTTGGCAAGGTTTCAAGAGTTTTGTATATAGATTTTTTTATTTATTTTGTATATAGTATGTATAACTAATATTTTCTTTACTGATTTATCTTTATCTTTACTTTTTATGTTTGTTTTTATTTGTCCAGATATAACATTTTAATTTTGTACTTTTTTGTTATTCTGAAGGGACTTCGTCCCAGAATAAAATTATTTTCTATTCTATTCTATTATATATATGTATATACATATATGTCTGTTGGAATTACAGTAGATCTTTTGCCACCTCAATCAGCCTTCTTCATCTCTGCTATATAAATAGCAAATATATATTTAGTGATATAGAAAAACTTTGTAAAAGTGGTCATTGTTGAGCTCAAGATTAACAAGAAGTAAATATTAAATTATTATGTGGATGCAAACGTTCTGGCCCACTTTTTATGCCTTCTTGAAGGCAAATATTAAATAGAAGTGGGGAAGTGAGGGCTTCTTACATCAATGAGGGATATCTTAGGACTAGCCACATAAAATATATAATTATTGAAAAAATGCTAGATCTATTATTTGCTGTAGATCAACGAATCTCAATTTCCCACGAACTGCTGCTTGTGCCTTAAGTTTTTCCAATTCAAGGACAATATTCTATACAAAAAAAAAAAAAAAGCCTTAGTAGCAGAGCTCCATCACTAAGGTCATCTTTGAATAGCCTCATTGACAATATTTTCTAGGTACATTGCATGACCAAAGAATGAATCACCGCACCTCTTATAGCCTTAAACTCCTCTAATTTAAGTTCTCTATCCACTCACTTACCATAAGATCTCAACCTTTTTATTTGTATACCTCTTTTCACAGATCAGCCTCATTTCACAGTACAAAAATTCATTGTTGCCAGCTCTATCATATTCTGAAATTTCCTCCCTCTCCCCACCAGACGTGGCCCTTCCTTATTCACATTTAAAACTCTCATCTCTTCTCAAAACAGACCTGGTTAATAATTATGCATTATTTAACAAGGTTTTGTTTATATATATATATATATATATATATATATATATATAAAGTATTTATATATATGGACCCCTTTGCTGCAAATGCGTCTGAGAGTCAGAAACTCCATCTCATGTACAATGGGCAAATGTCCAAATAACATGCTCATTGTCACTCATCAGCATAATAATATACAAATTATGGAATTCCTGGAGAAGAAAAAGGGTAGATGTTTCCTTGAAGTATATTGATACGGAAGGCTCAGTATGATTCGTAGATATCTTAGCCTTTAGTGCAAAAGGAAAATAGGCTCTGATAGTTGATGCTACAATTTGATTTGAAACCAATGATGAGGATCAAGTTATCAAAATATAAACAGAAAAGAGGAGATCTAGAAAAAATACATTCCGTACCTGCAGGAAAAATATAGAGGAGAATTTTGTGAAAGAGAATTTTCGGTTTGAGGATTTTGGTTCGGTAGTAGAGGTGCAATTCCACTTTCAATACCTGAGTTTTTGGAAGGGATGAGCATGGAAAGGAGCCATCTGTAGAGTATGGCAGAATATATTATTTTAGACTAATTAGGAATCCTGCATCATCATCTGTATTAATTCTGGCCACTTCGTTATAAGCTTTACGGAGAGCTGTGAGAAGGAAGAAATCTGGAGGAAATTTTATTAATGAATAAATAAATTATAACATTTGGTACTTTAGATGATAGGGCCACAAACCTTTATCCTTTTTGTTTCCTCTCATTACATATTATTTATTGGGACTGATCTGTATGCTGGGTCATTTAGCAATGCTTAACATAGCTGAGCAGCTGTGCAGTATTAATGTACTTCTCTCTCATTTTGTGTATGAATACAAAGATAAAATTCCTATTATTTAACTTTAACTAAATTTATTTTCTCTTTTTCCCCTTCATTTTCTATAAAAATGTTGTGCAGCATATATGTACAATTTATTTATTTCTAATAATATTTTTGTGTGCATATTAACATATTTTTCATTCTTTTATTTGTTTCTTTTTTTTAATGAACGAGTATGTATATTTATTTAAAAACATAAAAATAACAGAAGTAATTTTCGATTATTATTTCTTTTATGTTTAAGACTATCTGACTACTGTTTTTCTTGGAAACAAATATCAATTATTTACTATGTTTCATTTGTTGTAAATATTATTGGTAGTCCAATGTTTTTATTTTTCTTTATTCAATATAATAGGTCTTTTGGCTAGAAATTATTTTATTTTTTCTTATCTGCACTGTCTTCAGAACCAAGGCGTGGTTGAGAGAATAGTGCAGGGATCTCTTGGAGTTCTGTTTTTCCCTTTATGGTTGGAGAGACAAGAATGGCTTGGGGTTCCCTGCATTATTGTATATATTGTCTGTAGGAATGTCCGTGTATCTTTTTTTTTTTTTTTTGATGTTTTTTAATCTTTAAGTTATTTTATTCTTATTTATTGTATATATACTATTTTGCTTGGAGTTCTGTTTTTCCCTTTATGGTTGGAGAGACAAGAATGGCTTGGGGTTCCCTGCATTATTGTATATATTGTCTGTAGGAATGTCCGTGTATCTTTTTTTTTTTTTTTTTTGATGTTTTTTAATCTTTAAGTTATTTTATTCTTATTTATTGTATATATACTATTTTGCTTGGAGTTCTGTTTTTCCCTTTATGGTTGGAGAGATAAGAATGGCTTGGGGTTCCCTGCATTATTGTATATATTGTCTGTAGGAATGTCCGTGTATCTTTTTTTTTTTTTTTTGATGTTTTTTAATCTTTAAGTTATTTTATTCTTATTTATTGTATATATACTATTTTGCTGTTTAATTTATTTTTATTTATTGTAAATAGAGTATGAATGTGATCTCTGAACACTATTATAAATATCCACTGAGTAAGATTGTAATATTTCTCAATTAACAGGTTCTACAAAAAAACAAAAAAAAACAAAAAAACAAAAAAACAACAGAAATTGTTAAGAAAAAAAAAAGTTATTCTTAAGGGACATTGTCAAAGATTAAAGTTATTTTACTAATCTATTCTATTTTCCTCGTACTTTTTTTGCATAACAGGTGAAAAGGAATTAAATAGTTTCATAAATGCTAAACTGAGAAAATTGATTAAAATTCTAAAGCTTTGTAAATTATTACGCAATTATTACTGCACAAGACTTCCCTTATCATATAGCAAAAATAAAATGTTAAGATTGGTTCGAGATTTTACAATGTTTTTAAAATTGATTGTCTTTTATTAAGCTTTGTAAACAATTAAAATAATTCTCAAAGCTATTTAAAATATTTTCTAGCTAATATAATTATTTATCTTATTTATTATAATCTTAAAATCAAACACTTAAAAGAAGAAACAGAAAATCGATAAAAATTAACTAATTTTTGAGTTATTCGCAAATAAAATTTTTTAATCATCAACAACTTTTCCCATGTGCTTTTTCAGGGAAGTATGTAATTATATAAATTTATAAGTCTTCAAGGTGATGACTTAAGGGAAGTTTCATCAAAATAATCACACCTCTTTTGGTGCTACTATCTAAAGAAACAGGGATTTTCTTCTGCCATGTAGACAAAAAAAAATGGCGGATTCTGAGGAGACTCCAAATTGTACTTCTACGCCAATTTAAATTTCAGCCTTCTAACATTATTAGTTGGAACTGCAGATGTATGCAATACTTTAAAAATAGAGAAAGATGCCAAAAACCGTTCTTACAGCAGAAATGTCGACGAAATGTATCCAAAGTTTTATGATATTGTTCTTCTAGAAACAAACTCTGTTTTCTGAATTTCAGCTAATTAGATTAGACGTTTACTTAATGGTTGTTTACTTCATAAGTAAAAATATCCGCATCTTTTCTTCAGCAGTAGTAGAATTCACAAATACTGCGAAGAGGATTCATGAATCTTATAGAAAGGAAATTTTTTTATAACTCACCATTGATGTTGGAGATATAGAAAAGTTTGTAAGGCACAAATTATTGTATAAGGAAAAGCAAGGCTTTTCATCAAAGGGTGTTTCCTGGTTCCATAAAGGAGATACATACATATGTAGATCAACATGCGGGTTTCCAATCCTTTTCATTACATCCACGTTCTGGGTATGGGAAATATTAGGTAACCAATTCAAAGGATATTTTTTCTTCTTTTCTCTCAAGGTAAAATTAATAATTTCTGTGAAGGTTATTATCTCTTATTTCTTTATGTGCTTACATCAATATCCCATTTTTTATTTTTT